AGGCGTCGCTCAGACGGGCGAAGCAGCGGGACTCTGCGTGACCAAACGTCCCGCAAGGCTGACCAGTCCGAGCACCAGTGCGAATGACGTACGGACAGCGAGCAGTACTCCGTGACCCTCCACGCTGAGCGTACCACTCACGAAGCTGCTGGGGCGAAAGGACCGCGCGCGGACTACGCTGCAGCTGCACCTGTCCACTACAAGCAGCTCCCGAACTACTCACGCCAGAACGACTCTCACTACGGCCACCCCGACAACCCCAAGTAGCGTACCACTCACGAAGCTGCTGGGGCGTGAGGGACTCACACGGACGGCGCTGGAGCTGCATCTGGCCACGCCAGGAGCAGCAGTAGCAGTAGAAAGAGCAGTAGTAGCAAGAGCAGCAGTAACAGCAGTACGGGCAGGGCAGTGCTCACCAGTGGCGAGAAGGGCAGGCGTACGACGGCGGCAACGGCGAGGCCGCTACCACTGTAGGGCGAGGGCTCCGCGGCAGTTGTAGGGGCGGCTGCTGCAGGGGCGGCTGCTGCAGGGGTGGCTGCTCCAGGGGTGGCTGCTGCAGGGGCGGCTCCTCCAGGGGCGGCTGCTGCAGGGGCGGCTCCTCCAGGGGCGGCTGCTGCAGTGGCGGCTGCTCCAGGGGCGGCTGCTGCAGGGGCGGCTGCTCCAGGGGCGGCTGCTGCAGGGGTGGCTGCTCCAGGGGTGGCTGCTGCAGGGGCGGCTCCTCCAGGGGCGGCTGCTGCAGGGGCGGCTGCTCCAGGGGCGGCTGCTGCAGTGGCGGCTGCTCCCGGGGCGGCTGCTTCAGGGGCGCCTACTCCAGGGGCGGCTGCGTGAGGGGCGACAGGGCCGCGAAGGGCGGCGACGGGGCCGCTAGAGGTGGCGACGGGGCCGCGAAGGGCGGCGACGGGGCCGCTAGGGGCGGCGATGGGGCCGCGAAGGGCGGCGACGGGGCCGCCAGAGGCGGCGACGGGGCCGCGAAGGGCGGCGACGGGGCCGCCAGAGGCGGCGACGGGGCCGCGAAGGGCGGCGACGGGGCCGATAGGGGCGGCGACGGGGCCGCTAGGGGCGGCGACGGGGCCGCGAAGGGGCCGCGAGAGGCCTCGAAGGGCGGCGACGGGGCCGCTAGGGGCGGCGACGGGGCCGCGAAGGGGGCCGCGAGGGGCCTCGAAGGGCGGCGACGGGGCCGCTAGGGGCGGCGACGGGGCCGCGAAGGGGCCGCGAATGGCCTCGAAGGGCGGCGACGGGGCCGCTAGGGGCGGCGACGGGGCCGCGAAGGGGCCGACGGGGCCGTGAAGGGTGGCGACGGGGCCGCTAGGGGTGGCGACGGGGCCGCTAAGGGTGGCGCGAGGGGCCGTGAGAGGGGCCGCTAGGAGGGCGCGACAGGCCGCTAAGGGCAGGGGACGCGACGAGAGGGCGGCCCACGGGGCGCGCCTCGGGCAGGGGCGACTCGCGCTCCGGTCAGAAAAAAAAAAAAATCGATTTTCAGTGGTGGGTTTTAGGAAGCGTTCCAACTAGGGAACCTGCTCTATACCATGTGAAGAAATGAGGAATGAATGAACTAGCAAGCAGGTGGGTACAAGTAGGAAAACCTAAAAGTGTTGTACCCCATATGGTCTACCCCACTACAGCCTACACAGACTATAGCATATGAGTTTGACAGTACGACAATTGAGGCAGCACGCGGACGGCAAGGGCTACGTGAGGGCGATAGGGGCGGTACGCGAAGCTGCAGAGACAGGGGAGGAGCAGCAAGGGCGGAGGAGTGGTGCGCGCGGAGCAGTAGAGGCAGTACGAGGGCTGCTAAGGCAGTGGGAGGGCAGCTAAGGCTGTGGGAGGGCAGTACGAGGGCTGCTAAGGCAGTACGAAGGCTGCTAAGGCAGTACGAGAGCTGCTAAGGCAGTGGGAGGGCAGTACGAGGGCTGCTAAGGCAGTGGGAGGGCAGCCCGCGGGGCTAATGAGGCAGCGGGCGGGCCGCGCGGGCCGCGCGCGGGGCTGAAGAGGCAGCGGGCGGGCTGTGCGGGCGTCGCACGGGGCTGACGAGGCAGCGGGCTGGTTGCGCGCTCGCGGGTCAGTACAGGCAGCGCGAGGGCTGAGAGACGGCGCGCGGGGCAGTAAAAGGCAGCACGAGGGCTGCGAAGCGGCGCGCGGGGCAGTAGAAGGCAGCGCGAGGGCTGCGGGGCGGCGCGCGGGGCTGACGAGGCAGCTGGCGAGCGACGCGCGGGGCTGACGAGGCAGCGGGCGGGCTGCTAGCGGGCTGCACGAGGGCCAGCAGAGGCGAGCGCGAGGGCTGCGCGACTCAGGGCAGTATAGGCAGGGGGCGGGGTAACGCGGTAACCGGCGGAAAACAGTTGGTGGGCCGTGAAAAAAACAGTCCTAAAACTGTCCTAAGGACCTATTTGCTCTTAATACCATGTTGAAAGTAAAGGAAAAAAAGGTGTGATGACTATCGAGAGAGTTGGGTACAAGTAACAAAACCTATACCCTACATTAGCTACCCCACTAAAGCCTACATATCATTATAACATAGACATCTAGTTCGACAATACACGCACTCGCGTAGCGGAGGGGGGCTTCTTGAGAGGGGGGGGTACAGGGCCTCAGAAGTCAGCGAAAAAAGGCTGATTAGGGTTAAAAAGGTTGTGTTTTCAGTGCTGGGGAGATAGTGGGGCTGATTTGTCAGCTTTTTTTTTAGTGTGTAGGCTGAATTTTCAGATTTTGTTTCTATGTAAGGGCTGATATTTCAGCTTTTTTTCTGTAGTGTACACTGACTGACCAGCGTCGTAACGGGGGGGTTGGCTGAAATCCCACTAATGGAGATTCGCGTAGGTGTGCTGAATTTCGGATGTCTAGGTACTGTACACAGTTCGACAGTCCCACCGTCCTCCCACAAGTGTTACTCAAACCAACCATTTCCCAAAACCTCAGGACTCCTGAGTCAGGAGTCGAGCAAGACTCACAAGAGACTCACCTCCACCCACTTGTTCCCACGCGTCCCTTTGCTTGTCCCTTTGGCCCTTAGACTACCCTTTCACCCCACGCCTTTGTTTCATAACAGACAGTTAGGGCGACGTCAAGTTCTACAGCTTTTTGTACGCCCTCTCCGGTAAACTTTGTTTCAACACGGTGAAGAGCGGTAATTGTCGAGAACTGCTTTTCACCGTGTTAGACCGTCCTGAACCACGATACAGGAACTGTAAGCACGTGTGAAGTGTATAACCTGACATCGCCCTTAGTGTCGCCTTACTCCCAATGCATTTTCCTCATTCGTTGACACCCGTGCTACCCATGCATGCCTATTCCTAAGCCCGCGCTTGCTCGTTGCTGCGCCGTCACCGGCGCCGTGACGCCTGCTCTTTCCCGCCGTCTGCGCCTGCTCGTCCCCGATGCCTGCTTGTCACCGTGCTCGCTAAATTCCCTTCACCGTCGCCTGCACGTCCCGAATACCAGCTCGTCGCCGCGGCGTCGCTGCGGATTCTCCATGCCGTGTTCTCGCATTTATTCGGCCCAGTGCTATCGTTTCCTCTCTTCCACCGCCCTATTTGCACTTCTACACATTTCCTGCTTCAACTCGCCCATCTCTTCCACGCTCCTGTCCCACATACCCGTTTCCCCCCTTCCCCTCCCACCCTTTTTGGTGCGTGCTCAGCTCTTGGCAGCTCTCTGTTGCACTGATGATCTATTTCATTCCCTCTCCTCTGCATCCTCGCTTTCCCCCTCCCCACCTACCTCTTCCCTTTGAACTCTCCCATCCCTTCGTTGCTCCCATACCGTGCAGTTAGGAGCAGAGCTGATGCACTCGCTGATCTTGGCCGCCATCGAGTGTGTGCACAACGCTGAGGGGGAAGGGGGGGAGGGGGGGTGAGCAGCACGAATACAATCTTGGCCGCACCTGTGCTAAGCACCCTGCATAGGAGCAAAGGGATGATGGCGTACCGCCCTAAAACATGTGGTTGCAATTATCTGTAGGAAAAAAATGAGATAGCCTTTTATTTTCAATGACACTGATGTTCCAGCTTTTTTTTCTAGGTAACTCTGATTTTCCAGCGATTTTTTTTTTGCTAAGACTGATTCATCAGCCTACATTTGTGTACCAAGGCTGATGAATCAGCCAACCTCAAAACGAATCTGAGGCCCTGGGGGGGTAGTGTAAGGAATTTTCTCGACATTCCTTATCGCGACCAGCAACGTCGCGTACAGCAGCAGCCGTTGTTTGCCCGTTACGCTAACGGGGCTTTGCCAACTTTGCGCGCACTGTTTCACCAAACCTCCCACTGCTGGCCCAACCGAGTGGGCCTACGCTTCGGGTAGCCCAAACCTCGCTGCCAGCGTAGCACTAGCTAGCTCGCACGCACCGCGTTACCGTTTGCATGTTTCGCGTAGAAGTATTCGCTCATGCCTTCGCTCGTATCTTGTACTCGTTTGACACCCTAGTGCAATTCTCGTTGCTTCGTTCCATTGCACCCGTAACAACAACTCAAGACAGCATTGGTGGTATAATTTCCATTCCTAACTAGGTTTCCACACAACAATACATTCAGAACAACAGACAGACTCATCCGAATTCCTATTTGGCGCCTTGTGACAAAGCTCAACCAAACTGTGCCAGACTTAATTTATAGGTCCTTGTCTAGCTGGAGTATTTAACCTCCATTCACATGAGAGGTTTTGTCTGTGGTAACATATTTGACGGTATTTGTTACCGTTTTCCTTCTTATTAGAGATTATAACGTCGTGCCTAATTTTGTCATGTGCCCCTCCAACTGACCAGAGCCAGATGAGCACAGTGCTCTCTGAAGCCAGTAAATGCAATGTCAGCGACATAAAACACTACCAAATGACATCATGTGATAGGCTGACTTGAGTGGACAATGTACATTTTTTGCCAGATGGTGAAGCAACTTGTACAGTTGTCGTTGAGATGAGGATGAGTGCAGGAGGACGGATGAGTGTAAAGGGGTCAGGGGTGAGCTGAGGGAAGGAAGGATAAGCACAGAGCGAATGAGGAACTAGTACAAGGCAAAGGAGGGATGAGCGCAGGGGGAAGGGATGAGGGCATGGGGAAGGGTGAGGGGAGGGGGGAGGGGGGAGGGATGAGGGCATGGGGAAGGGTGAGGGGAGGGGGGAGGGACGAGGGCATGGGGAAGGGTGAGGGGAGGGGGGAGAGATGAGCAAGGGGAAAGGTTGAGTGCAGTGGAATGAGGGAGCGCAGAGGGAATGAGGGATGAACACAAGGGGAATAGCGGATGAGCGTTGTGGGAGAGAAGGCGGGAGCACAGGTGGGGCTGATGGGAGCAAGGGGAATGCGGGATAAGTGCAAGGGGGATGAGCGGCAAGGATGGACGAGGGATGAACGGTGGGGGAATAAGAGGTGAGCGCAGGGCGGAAAAGGGATCAGCGCGGGGGGGAAAAGGGACCAGCGCAAGGAGAATGAGCGGGGAGCGCAGGGGAGGGATGCGCGCAAGGGAGGGATGAGCGCAGGGGGGACGGCATGCTATCGATATTTTCAATGGGGTGAGGAGCGAGCAACGGGGAGATGAGGGATGAGCGGGGGCAAGACGGAGTGAGGAGGCAAGAATGCCTCTACCAATAGCGAAAGGAGGGAGAGCAGGCCAAAGGAGGGAGCGACGGCGCGGGGAGGGGCAAGGGGGATGGGAGCGGGTGGGAAGTGAAAGGGGGGAACGGGGCGTGAACTTGCATTCGTGCTCCGCTATACCATTTCACGATAATTTGATTATTAAGATTATCCAAAGCGTCGCTAGTTACTATCCCAAGCTCGCCGTCAGCCAGAGGGAACCCTGCTCTGAGAGCAGGCGACCTATGGAGTCATCAGAGCGCGCGGCAGGCTGCGCGCATCACACGGACATGTCGTTAGGGTTAGCTGTAAAACGGGCGAGATCCTGAGACCTATTTACGCGGAAATCGGGCTTAGAGTGGTTGCGTGACCGCTCGAGCGTGCGCTCAACAAGTGAGCTACTACCGCCGTCCGTCAAAATTATATTCCCTTCGCGACGTAATGAGTATACGAAGTCGACGGATAGTTCTTACTGCTTTCTTCGTACAATGGGTATGAAAGCCGTTCATTGCTAATTGCAGAAGATTCCATGATGCTCGCTCCTGGCAAATAAAGGCCAAAAGATGACACTAATGGCTAGGAAGAATTACGTGTAAAAATGAGTCCTAGCTGAAAGTCGCAGACGTTTTTTACTCTGATCAGGAACACGGCCTAGCCTGGTGGATGCCGAGTGCCCCTGCTGGTTTGTCATCATCAAGCCTGTGACTGCGTGATGCCTGCCAATGGCGAGCATGTACCACCCGAGTCGTTCAGTTCAGATGGCGTAACCGACTTTTTACAGCTGTGCAGCTGCAGTAACCGATGTCTTTCACATCCTGCCCACTGTTGCGTACAGCTCAACTTTCCACATGATTCATCGTTCTTGTCGAAAGAAACACAATTCCCCACCAAACAAATGGCATTTTACTTGCAGCACATTCTTGTTGCTCTTTCGAGATGTGGTGTGCTCAGGAAATTATATAGTAACGGGCAGCGTTGTGGAATGGTTTCCAGGGCAGCGAGTCCAGCTTTCGCTGGATTCGGTGCTTGGATTTCTACCCTCCCAACCCATCTCCAGCCGTCCAGATCCCTTTCAAACTACATGTTGTCCAAGCTTCCAAGTTCCATCACAAGATTCATCCACTGGCTTTTCTCCGTTGACTGGAGTCGCGCTTCCGCCGCCACCACACTTGAAAGCATGGGATGGGATTTCAAGCGTGTACAGTAATTACTCGTGTTTTTCGAGTAGCGCAAGCCTCCATATTACGCACTGTCGATCATATGGTATGATCCAGGGACTTCACCCAATTCTTTAGTCCAGATAGTTTAAGTTAGGACGCGGTAAAAGTTGACGATCGTCATTTGCGATCGGTGGGCGGATTGGTTACCCTGTTTACGCTTTAAAAACAAAAAAATAAATACTTTTTTACTCTTGTGTAATTATGCTACAGAGAGGTTTTTGTCCAATTTTGGTGCACTGTAAGTGAATGCGACTGATCACTGTAAAACTTTCTGCAGCATCAATGCGCAGATGATGTGCATGAACCTATCACAACATGCACGATTGATGCTGATGCCTGCAAAGTGCTAAAATTTCGCAGAGCAATAACGGAGACACCCATGATCCTAACATTTTGCGGAATTTCAAGCTGGTTTTTCTGTTGGTTGCGAACATCTCAGGTGTAGTTGGGCGAAAAGGTTCTTTCTTAGACAGTGTCGCACGCAAAGCCGAAATCTTTATTCTGTAACATCCAACCCATCCCGCAAGGGCGATCGTTACAACCGCATGGGCGTATCGTTTCGCCAAGCGATCCGCCCAATCGATTCTGCGGATCGATATATACGCGCGATCCTGCGATATTCTTGCTTTCACCATGTCCTTAGGGCGGGTCCGAAGTGAAGCTGACATCTGTCGACATCTGATGTCGGTAAATCCTGACGGTTGGAACTCTCGATCCGAGGGTTGACATTACCGACATCCCTCGACGCTTCACTTCGGACACGCTCTTACCACTGATCGGCACCCTCGTGGGAATTCAGTGAACCCAACACCTGACTAAAGTGCACATCCAATGACCACATGGGCCAGTTTCTTGCTGCCGAATCTCTGCAGTGGGCACAAAAAATTGTTAGCTCAAAGCGCAGCTCTTAGCTCATGTGCTACTTTTCATGTCATCATCTTATAGATTTTCCTTATAGTGTGTTTCGGTGTAGAGGGCCGAACTGACCAGCGTTGAGCAGTCCAAACCGCTCTTTCCTTCCCCAGCAAAGCAAAGCAGCCCTAGCAGCAGGCCCACTTCCGGGCACTGTACAGTACCAGACCAGCAGACAGCCAGGCCAGGAGAAACCGGGGTAGGTGTACAGTACACCTAACCCGCCCCCTCACTTCGCCCAACAGCAAAACCACACGTGACACATCGCGGGATAGAATTCGACAGCAGCAGCTTCCTTTTGGGCCAACTCCTCTCCTTCCCTCCCTCGTCTCCACCCTTTCTTTCTCCCTGCTTCCCATGCTCCACAGCACAACACCCATCGCTTCTTAATGTCGATTCGTCTTCCCCCCTGAACTGCACAACTGCTTCAACATCATCTGCAATCTAGATAATCCCAGCGCACAACGCAGGTCTGCTCAACTTCGGAGCGCGTGCGATTATCGTGACGATCCGTTAGATCACGACGCGGCGCGCTGAGAGCGGCCGGCAGCCCGGCCAAAGCGACGCTGCAGAGCTCCTCCGTTCGCGTCGCGAAACTTATAAGTCAGCCCGCACTTAGTGGTTCGCTGCCAGCGACTCGGCAATCCGTCCACGGTCAGGCAGTGCCGGTCTGTACCTCTCGCCTGTAGATATAGCGAGCCTATCTATAACTAAGTAACTTCCTCATTCACTCGCCGTCCCGAGTCGACTCTAAAGAAATGAAGGATCGTCAGCCATTTTTAGGCAAAGAAAGCACGCACAGGTGCTATTCAAAACCCAGAGGCACGCGATTAAGCTCCTAGTCGCATGCTGCTTCGTCAAACCGACTTCGTCAATCCCACTTCGTCAATCCCACTTCGTCAATCCCACTTCGTCCCCCGCATCCCGCGCCAACTTACGTTCCTTTCTGCACCGACGCGTTCATGCAAAAGCCCCGCCGACTTCCGGCCGCCCCCGGCGCCCTCGGAAATGGCGGGCGGACGGGGGGAAGCGGCGGAGGGCTGGAGCGCACGCGCAGCGGAACCTGGATTGGCGCAGCGGCGCTTAACCCGCAAAAAGAAAAGCTTTCCGCGCTCCGCTCTCCCGGTAGCGCTCCGCCGGCGGCGGAGGACAAGGGCGGCGGGGGAACAGGGCGCGCTGGAGGGGGAGGGCCCCGCCCAGGATCAGCCGGAAGCGGGAGGGACACGTCCAAGGGGGAAAAGGGGAGATTCGGCGAGGGGAAATGGCGGTTCGGCTTTACGTCGCGTCAGGATGCACGAGCCACGTCGTCGCCGCGCGTCGGGCCGTCCTCTGGGCTGATGGGGCTGTCTTTAGGCGGCGGCGGCGGCGGTGGCGGCGGCGGGGACGGCCCGTTAAAGCGCATGGCGCGCAGGATGTTTCCGCCTGTCCCCGCCCCGGGAAGCAGCAAGAGCAGCTCCCTCTCGCTAGTGGCGGGCTTTGGCGGCTACCGCGCCCTTCGCGGCGGAAGCGGCGGCGCCGCCGCGTCAGGCGCGGCAGCGGGCAGCGGCGTCGCGGGAGGAGGCGCAACTGCTAGTAGTAGTGGAGGCGCGGCGACGGGCGCGCAAGCCGCCGGGGGAGCCGTAAAAACCGAAATGCTGGCGTTCGAAATTGGGTGCATCATGCGGCGCCTCCTAGAAATCGACGACTCGACGAGCGAGCGCTCTCTGGCCGCGCTTCGAGCTAACCTTCAGGCGCCCGGCGTGGTAACCCTAATCTCCCCCGACCTGCAGCTCCTGTGGAGCCTGGCCGGCGCGGAAAAGGCGGAGGAATTGCAGAGCGTGGCGCTACGAGTGGCCGTGCTGGGCCGCAAGTGCCGGCATCCTAGGCTGCACTCGTTAGGCGATATGCTCGACCGACTTACCGCTCCCGCTTCTCCCGCTCCTCCTGCGGTGCGCGCGGTTTCCGCTGCCGCCCCCGCTGGCGGCGTAGCTGGCGGAGGCGGCGACGGCGCAGAAGCCGCGGAGTTGGACTTGGCGCAGTTCACCGCGTCGGCGACGGAAGCCGAGGCGCTGATGAGGTGAGCGGCGCGACGCGTCTCGACGTTGGCGCACGTGTTACGTCTTTGTTAAGGATCGTGACTTATGTCTCCCATCTCTCATCCATCTCCCATGCCTATGTTGATTGAAGACTCATGCGATTCTCCATTTCTTTGCCTGCCGCCATGTCTATGTGCGTGTGCTTGTGCGTGGACGTGTGCGTGTGCCTGTGTGTGTACGTGTGCGTGTACGTGTGCGTGTGCCTGCGCGTGCCTGTGCGCGTGCCTGTGCGCGTGCGTGTGTGCGCGTGCCTTTGCGCGTGTGCGTGCTGCCATCACGTGTGCGTGTGCGCCCATCAGGTTCATGAAGGAGCAGGCGGAGGCGACGGAGCGACTGCGGGCGGAGATGGAGTCCATTCAGCAGCTGCACCGCCGGTAAGCTCGCTCACACACACACAACATGCGCGGTCATGAGCGGTAATGGGCAGTGGTACGCGGTGATCAGGTTTCCCTCCCCTGTGCTTTGCTCATCCTGACCGCCTTTCGTTCTCTCTCCCGTGACGCTTCCTCTCCCGTGAGAAGCCCCCTGCTTCTCCCTTCCCTCATTCTCCCCCAACCCTACCCGCACCCCACCCACCCTTCCCCCCCCTCCCTTCTTCCCCCCCCAACCAAATCAGCATCCAGGCATACGGCGACTGGATCAAGCTACAGGACATGGTAGCGCAGGGAAAGGCCATTGAGAGGCTGCAGTCGCACTGCCTGTGGTCACCCAATTCCCCCTGCCCCCGCGCCACTGTTCCCCCTCTCCCAATCAGCATCCAGGCCTATGGAGAGTGGAACAAGCTACAGGACATGGTAGCGCAGGGAAAGGCGATCGAGAGGCTGCAGTCGCACTGCCTGTGGTCGCTTGACCTCGACTTCCCCGTTCAGCTCCTCGTCGCCGCGCTCTGCCTGCTGCGCGCGCGCATCCTTGCTGCCTTCGGCCTCGCGCCTGCTGCCCCCCCGCCGCTGTGCGGAGTGTCGCTGGGCGTGTGGGGCCTGGCGCTGCACTATGCGAATGTGGTGGTGGTGGTCGAGAGAATCATTCAACAGCCGGATGCGGTTATGGGCAAGACCAGGTGGGTTCGGTTTGGTTTAGGTAGTGCTGTGCTCTGTGTGTGGAGGCCTGGCGCTGCACTATGCGAATGTGGTGGAGAGGATTCTTCAACAGCCGGATGCAGTCATGGGCAAGACCCGGTGGGTTCGCATAGTGCTGCGCTAAATGTGTGTGGTGTGTGCGTTGGGGGGGGGAGGGGGAGGGGGGGGGGCTGGCGCTGCACTATGCAAACGTGGTGGTGGTGGAGACGATTATTCAACAGCCAGACGACCTCCCCAGGGAGCGCAGGGAATAATCCTCGCCACCCCAGGGACGAGGTGGAGAGGGCGACCTCCCCAGGGAGCGCAGCATGCTGCTGTGTGCTTGCTTCCTCAGGGACGAGCTCTACGACATGCCACCCACCACGCAGCTTACAGCACTGCATGCTGTGACTTTTGAGTCGACTCAAAAGTCACTTCCTCAGGGACGAGCTTTACGACATGCTACCGAGCAGCATACATCACTGCATGCTGTGTCGTAGCACATTTCCAACCCACCATTCTCCCTTCAACTTCCCCTCCCAACAACCCTCCTCTCTTTCCCCCTCAGGGACGAGCTCTAAGACATGCTACCGTGCAGCATACAGCACTCACTGCGCTGCTGCTGCGTCTCACCACGGTTCCATTTCAACCCGTCGCTCTCCCCTCCTCTCCCCCCTCCCCTCTCCCCTTCCTCCTTCCCCAGGGACGAGCTATACGACATGCTCCCACGCAGCATACAGCATTCCCTGCGCCGCCAGCTGCAGAACCCGGGGAACTTCCTGCCGGACGGGCGAGTGGAGGCGAACCTCAAGCGCGGGCTGCTACTGCTGCCCACCATGGCGCACAACACCATCTTCTGGCAGTCGCTGCACACACCGGGGACCAACATGGGGACGGATGAAGTCGTCTTTCAAGTGCAGGTGAGAGGGGATGGGAGGGGGAGGAAGGGGGGTGTAGGTGGGTGGGGAGTGTGGGTGGATGGGATGGTGTGGCTGGGGAGAGCGTGGATGCGGCTCTGGTGGACGTGCTTCTGGGCTCTTTGTCCCTCCCCTCTTTTGAGTCGACTCAAAAGTCACCTCGTTACTATGGCACACGACATTGCTTCTGGGTTTTTGTCCCTCCCCTCTTCGACCCCTTGTACTTCCAACCCATCCCAACCCAGCTCAAATCCATCCTCCCCCCCCCCCCCCCCCAATTCCCTGCGGACGTTCTACTATGCGAATCGGGAGAGCGTGGATGTGGCACTGGTGGATGTGCTGCTGGGCCCTCTACTCGTCGAGCCCGTCTGCTTCCAACCCAACCCAGCTTAATCCAACCTAACAAAATCCAACCCTCTCATCTTTTCCCCACAGACGTTCTACTATGCGAATTGGGAGAGCGTGGATGCGGCACTGGTGGATGTGCTGCTGGGCCCTCTACTCGTCGAGCCCGTCTGCTTCCAACCCAACCCAGCTTAATCCAACCTAACAAAATCCAACCCTCTCATCTTTTCCCCACAGACGTTCTACTATGCGAATTGGGAGAGCGTGGATGCGGCGCCGGTGGACGTGCTGCGGTGCCCTCTACTCCTCCACGCGACGTGTTTCCAACCCAATTTCAACCCAACCCAACCCAACCCAACCCTTCCGTTCCCTCCCAACAGACGTTCTACTATGCGAATCGCGAGAGTGTGGATGCGGCGCTGGTGGACGTGCTGCTGGGGCTGTGCCGCATATGCGGAGTAGAGGAGCCCATTCTCGGCCCTCTCGCTGCTGCTGCTCTCACCACCACCACCGGCACCACCAGCACCAGCACCACCACCACCACTGAAGCAGACGTCAGCAGCAGCAGCAGCAGCAGTACCGCTGCTGCCACCGTCAGCAGTGCCAGTACCAGCAGCAGCAGCGGCAAGGGCAGCAGAAGTGCCCGCGCGTGCTTCCCTGCTGATGAAATGGAGACCTGTGTATCCACCACCACCACTGGAAGCTCCTCTGCTGCCGCTGCTGCTTCTTCTCCTTCCTCTTCCTCATCCTCACCAGCAGCATCAGCATCCCTGTCATCACCATTATCATCATCATTTCTCTCCTCAGCAGCAGCACCAGCAGCAACTGCTCCGGCTCCGACAGCAGCGGCGGCGGCGGCAGCAGCAGTGCTGGCGCGGGGGGACCCGTTCCTAAGCGACGCGCAGTTCTTAGCTAAGTATGGGCCGAACGAGGGGCAGCAGAGGGGGCGGAACTGGTGGGGTGGGGCGGTGGTGCATGTATTGGAGGATAACAGCGGAGCTAGGGAATGGAGGGAGAAACAGAGGGAGAGACAGAGGGAGAGGGAGCAACAGGGGCAACAGGTTGCTAGGACGGAGAGTGAGAGTGGAGGAGGAGAGAGTGGGAGGGGGGGAGAGAGAGGAGGGAGAGCAGGACGAGAAGCGAGGGAGCGGGGTCGTTCTGCTTCCCAAGGGACAAGCCAAGATCATTCTGTTGCAGCAGAAGGAGAGGTGGGGGATCGAGCGGGTGAGGGAGGGGGACGGGAAGGCGGCAGATTGCAGAATTGGCACGGTAAGGCGGAGGAGGGAAAGGAGGGGGAGGAAAAGGCGGAGGAAAAGGAGGGGGAGGAAGAAGAAGGGAAGGATGGGGAGGCCGCTCCTGAGGATCTCCCTCCTGAGGCGGTCAGAAGCCACTCTTTGCGACGAACAACTAGCAGTCGATTCGGAGTGGCAGCAGCAACGCCGCTGCGTCTCATGTCAGCTGCGCTGACACACGCAGCAGCGGCTTTCGAAGGCGGCCCTCAAAGATCGGCTGTTTCAACGCACGCCACCACCGCTGCAGGAGCAGCAGGTGCAGCAGGTGCAGCAGGTGCAGGAGCAGCAGCAGCGGCGACGAAATCGGGCTCGGGGAGAAGCAGTGGCAGGCACAGAAGGTCTTCCAGCAGAGGGATACTGTGGTTGGTGGGCGAAGGGAAGGGGAAGGATTTTGGCGAGGAGGTGCAAGAGGAGGGGTGTGTGGGGGAAGCAGGGGTGGAATGCGGGGATGGGGATGTGGATGGGGATGGGTGTCAGGAGGGCGGAGGCGGGAAGAGAGGAGGATTCGGTGGTGGTGTCTGTGGTGGTGTGGATGGTGACGGGGAGTGTGGTGCGGTTCAGAGCGGTGCAGAGGGTGATTTGGTGAGTGGGCTTGGCAGTGAGTCATGCAGCATGAGTAGCAGTTTGAGCAGCATCACTACAGCATCCATGCTCTCACTCACCTCCCTCACCTCCTCCTCCTCCTCCTCTTATGCTTCCTCTGCTGCTACCGCCACTACCACTGGCCGAAGCAGCTGGAGCAGCAGCAGCAGCAGGAGCATCAGCGGCAACAGGCCTCAACCTAGGAGCAGCGATGCCGCCACTGGCCGGAACCCGCGCAGAAACAGCACCAGCAGCACCAACGACAACAGCAGCAGCAGCATCAGCAGTAACAAGAGCAGCAACAGCAACAACAGCAGCAGCGGTGGCAACAACAGCAGCAGCAGTGGCAACAAGAGCACCAACAACAGCAGCAGCAGCAAGAACAGCAGGGGCAGGAGCAGTGCAGGCCATACCATCGAGGCTCCACCTTTCATCCCGGTCATCCCAGTCATCCCACGTTCGGAGTCCTGTCACGAAGCCCCCACGTACATCAAGGCCCTCTCACACACCGCCACCACCCACACCACCTTCGCCCCCAACATGGGCACAGGCAGAGGCTCAGACATGGCTGTGAGCATGGGCATGGGAATGGATATGGATGCGAGTATGGCAGCAGCGATGGCGATGAGTGCAGCAGGGCAGCAGTACATCCCTCGCAGTGCCAGCATGAGCTGTGCCGTACCACCAGCACCACCGTCATTGTCGTCGCCGTCCCTTCACCGCACCTCCTCCTGCTCTACCAATGCCACGAGCCTCAGTGCTTCCTCCAGCCCGGCCGAGTCTCTTTCTCTCCCCCACGCCGCCCGCGCGACTTTTGAGGCGTCTCAAAAGTCCCAAAAGTCGGTGTCGTTGTCGCCCCTGCATCGCACCACCTCCTGTTCTACTTCTGCCGTGAGCCTCAGTGCTTCCTCCAGCCTGGCCGAGTCTCTTTCTCTCCCCCACGCCGCCCGCTCGCCCTTCTCCCCGCACTCCCCCTTCTCCTCACACTCCTCCCACGTGCTCCACTCCCCCGGCTCGTCGCATTCGCCGTCTGGCGTGCAGGGCCGACTAGCCCGCTGCTCTCCCTCCCCCTCCCGCACTGCCCTTGGGAGCAAGCCTGTGGGAGCGGCGGGTAGTGAGACGTCTAGAAGATTGTCTCCCTCCTCCTCCTCCCCCTCCTTGCGCACTCCGCTCGGGAGCAGGCCAGTGGGAGGGGTGGGTACGATAGCAGTGAAGGTGATCCCAGTGCAAGGAGCAGTGGCAGGAGCAGGAGCAGGAGCAGGAGCAGGAGCAGGAGCAGGAGCAGGAGCAGGAGCAGGAGCAGGAGCAGGAGCAGGAGCAGGAGCAGGAGCAGTAGAAGGAGGAGGAGCAGGAGCAGTAGAAGGAGGAGGAGCTGGGAGTCTGGAGCTAAAGGGTGTGGGGAAAGGGGAGGAAGAGGAGGGAGATGACTCGGTTTGGGGGTCTAAACTTGGGGGTGGCAGGCGTACTTGTGTTGGTGCTGCTGCCAGCAGCAATGGCAGCGGTGTTACCTGCGCGACCAGCAGTCCCCGTAGCAGTAACGCTATCTTAAGTAGCAATGACGGTGCGTGTGGGAGCAGCGCTGAGAGGGGCAAGCACAGACGAATTCCGTGGATAATTGATGGCGGGAAAGAACCCTGTGGATGATTTGCTGCTGCCTTGAAATAGATGGTAAGTGTATGTATGCTTAATCAAACCGTTAAGTTTTATTGTAATATATGTTTTGTCCAACATGTGGGTGCTGAAGTCAAGCACTAAGTTTGTTAATTTCACATCGTAGTTGCTGAACTCGGAGAACTCAGCTCTTGTACACCTCACCCCACCCTTAGAAAGCGGCTCTCTGCGTGGGTGGTACAATCAAGAGACATAAGCACAAAGGCCAATCAAATGCGAGTTTGCAGATTTTCTGTGCTTGTCTCTCTCGATCTCTGACGTGGAATTACTTGTGCTGAGGCTCACCTTTTCCGACGTGGCACACACGATTTGTATTGACGTGGGAGATGCCGAACTCCAGCTGTTCCTAATCGATGCCGAGTGGTTCACATTATTCGCCAGAGCAGTTCGGACAGCACTATGGAATTGGCGCGCAAAGGCCACGACAACACTGTACACTAGATACACGCTTCTGACGGGTTTCCAGCACATTCTGGCTACACGTGTGTCAGCCCATTCAACTCCTACAGTAATGGTACTGGGGGTTGAACGACGTTTGCCATTCGATACGCCGATATCTTGCAGTCGAATGAGGTCTGCGAGCGCTGCCGTCGGGGGAATCACAGGGGCAAGGATTCCTCAGCGCGGAACAGGTGGCGCATGCTTTCCACACCCCACCCCTCTCCCCTCTCTCCTTCCCCAGGTGCGGGAACGAAAAAAACGTCGTCGTAACACATGTATGTGTGCCATTTCCTTCTCGCAAAACCTCTTCAGTGTGAGTGAACGAATCTCGCCAGGGAAACCTGACGAAATTCGCAACTGCATCTGCTCCGCGCCAGCCGCCATCCACCAAGTCCTTTCAAAGAGAACGCACAGAAACGTATTGAAACGCACAAACACGCACATAAATCCTGGAAAAAAACAAAAGCATCCATGTCGCAAAACCATCCGAAACCGGACCATTCGAACGGCTCGAACTTTCCGCGGAACCCTTCCCCCTCCCCTTCTTCTCCACATGTTACAACGACGCCATATCTTGCTTTCTTCCAGATTCGCTTGCTCCCCGTTCACGAGTGATATGACACCTTCGGTGCACTTCTTGTACAGTACAATCGAACCGGCTTGTGCCTTTCACCTTGTGCTGTGCGATTTGCGGCTTGCATTTCAAGAGAGCTAAGGACGAAGTGGCATAGGGGATTTGTAGACAGCGCTGCTATATCCACTCAGCGGCTGCTGCGGCCGTGCTCAGTGGGTTTTCCGCTCACAGACTACCTAAGAGTGTAGCGGCACCGCTTTGCTTTGTACAGCTGCCAGCTTGAAGCTTCTTCGAGCCGGCATTTGAAACCCGTTCATTTTCTGCGCGGATTTCAGTACTTCTGCCGAGCCGCCATTCCCTGTCAGTCGAGGACAAACCCGCTTCGGAAATTACCGCGTGCTCACGGAGACTTCGGGCTTCCTACTGACACGGACTCACGAATCGCCTCCTGTTCGTGCACCCTGCCTTCTCCAGAGTCTAATCCCGCAACGCCTAAATCACGCAGAGCCTAAATCCCGCAACGCCTAAACCTCTTCCATGGATTTTCCTAACGCTGCGACCACCGCGGCGATCTGCCTCCTCTGCGACTGCGACGCCACCGAGAGCTGCATGTGCGATGGCCCATCGCTCTCGTTAAAAGAACACCCGCAACCATTCTCTGGTTACGGCATTGCCTCCGATGAAATAACTACCAGCGGGCGGCGAAGCGCATGCGCACCCGCGGCGGAAGCGGCGGCGGAGGCGGCGGCGGCCGCGCCCGCGCCCGCGTCTGCCTCCGCCGCGCATCCCGGTCATACTAGGCGCAGGGGATTCAAATACTCACATCTTAGAAACTTCGTAAGGCGGTATCGAGTTCCCCGCTTGCTCACCATCTCTCTCCTCGTCCTTCTCGCGTGACCGGTAACCTGGTTACACCATCACTTCACGATCATGCGAAGCGGCGAGTCGCCGCACATGCGCGTGGAGTTCTCGCTAATCGTCGCCGTGTCGTCGCTGCTGTACCTGGCCGTCGCATACGCCTTCTGGATCAACGCGTGCCCGGTTCTCGCGGCGGTTTTCACGCTCGTGACGATCAGCAGCCTCTTCACGGACAGTCTACACACGTCATCGCGCTTCTGGCCACGCGTCGACCGCTTTCTTGCAACCTGCGCCAGTGAGTCGTCGAGTCGTCGAATCTTCGAACCCTTGGAGTCTTCGGAACCTCTAAGTTTCCGAGTTTCGACGACTATTAACGCGCTCGTTACTGTACTTCACACTGCTCGCGCTCTATAAAAGCCGTATGGACATCCCGTAGTACTGCTTGCTTTACCTTTCTTTCTCTCGATTTCCTTACTCTCCTCCGTTTCTCTCGCTTGCCTCCTTACTCTACGTCCGCCTTCCCCTCTCCGCACCCTCCCCCCTCTTCCTTTCCCCGTCCCCCTTTCCCTCTCCACCAGCGCTGCTAGACCCCATCCGCGCCATGGCGTTTTACTGCGCGCGCTTTCTATACGCTGCATAGACATCCCTCCGTGTTCCCATGTGTCCCCCCTCCACCGTTGTTCCCCCCCCAGCGCTGCTAGGCCCAATCCGCGCCATGGCGTTCTACTGCGCGTCGGCGGTGCAGCGCCGTGATTCACTCCCCGCCTTCCCTCCCTCCGCCTCCCCCCCCCCCCCTCCGCCAGCGCTGCTAGGCTCCGCTTTTGAGACGACTCAAAAGCAGACCCTCCTCTTCCCCCCCCCCCTTTCCCCCTCCGCCTTTCCCCCCCCCCAGCGCTGCTAGGCCCAATCCGCGCCATGGCGTTCTACTGCGCGTCGGCGGCGCAGCGCGCGGAGGTCGCAGCGCTGTCGCTGCTGTCGCTCTCGTGCCTCGCGTGGAGCCGCAAATCGCGCTGCCAGTGGGATTTCGTGGTGCGCCACTCCACGTGGCACCTCGTCAGCGCAGTCAGCCTTCTGTACCTCGCGAATTCCGTGGAGTTCTCTTAGCTAAGTGCTGCTGGGGTTGCTTGAGTCTTTTCTAAGTGCAAGGGAGCTGTTGTGTGCGCTTGCACCTAATTAGCAGCAGCAACGAAGCAGCAGCAGCAGCAGCAGCAGCAGCAGCAGCAGCAGCAGCAGCAGCAGCAGCAGCAGCAGCAGCAGCAGCAAGAGCTGGGTGTGGAAATAAGAGTGTCTGCATTCACAGGTGGAACAGTCAACTTGCAAGCTTGTGACTTACCGTATGACTTTTCTTAGCAGCTTTTGCAGCAAAACGTCAGTGTAACACAGCAACCGCGGTTGCCCTTGGTAGGCTGACGGCCACCTGCTTCTATCGCGTATCACCAGCACCTTCTGACCCTCATGACCTTCTGTGATGGTCCCAGGAGCCAAACTTCAGTCTTGTTTTGCGAGAGAGGGTCTCAGCTTCGATGAGTGTGCAGAGTTAACCATTTTCTTTGTCTATATATATAATATCGGTACTTATACTGGTTCATTGCTGTGCACTGTACCTGCACACTGCTAAAAGCAAAAAAGGACTGTACATTTCGAATAGAGAGGACTGACTTGCATCCAACCATCCATAGAGCAACCACCTTATGCTCATCTAAACTGTTCTTACCTCTTAATGCATGCACCAACTCTGCAGGATTACTAACCAGCTGCACTAACGGCACTCCCTCTCAAATCCTTGTCCTGGAAGCACCCATAATCCAGACGCAGCAGCTACCGTACGTTCCACACACGCAAGCACCATGCCATGCCCCCCCCGAACTCCCGCCCTCTTCGCGCCCTGACCTGGTTGCACACACCAAGCCCCTCTCTTCTCTACATCCTGACCTGTTTGTACCTTTCTCTGCCCCTCTCAACTCCTCCCAGATCCTGCTTTCAACTCCCCCCTCTCCGCAACTCCTCCCCTCTTCCGTCCTGACCTGGGATCCAATCCAGTCACCACACATAGCCATTTCAACCCCCCCCTCTTCCCCACTTCCCTTCTTCAAGTCCTGACCTGGAAGCACCCTGCGGTGGTGAGGTGACGGATCAGAATGCCGCATGCAATCGCCGGTTCTCCTCCCCTCTCGACACCCCCAACAGCGCCGTCCCCATGGTTCAAAACTGCGCCAGCAGCACCCCCACACACCAGTGGACCTTTCGAGACTTCCCCTCAACTCCCTCCCCTTTTCGGTCCTGAAATGGGATCGATTCACTACCTGTGGTTCTGTTTACTCCCCCTCTCCTTCCCTTCCCTCTCCTCAATTCCTGACCTGGAAGCACCCGGCAACGGTGGCGGATAGGAACGCCGTGTGCGGGCGCCGGTTCTCCTCCCCTCTCACCACCACCGATTCTATCCGCACCCCCCACAGCGCCGCCCCCATGATTCTGAACTGCGCCAGCAGAACCCCACCAATGGCCCTCTCGAACCCTCTCCTCAAATCCTGCTCGCTCATCTCCTGCCCTGCTCTCTCTACTCCAGCCGTTTCTAAACCTGAAATGGGACCGAATCACCGCCTGTGGCCCTGTCTATGGTACTCCCCCTCTCCTTCCCTTCCCTCTCCTCAAGTCCTGACCTGGAAGCACCCGGCAACGGTGGCGGACCGAAACGCCGTGTGCGGGCGCCGGTTCTCCTCCCCTCTCACCACCACAGACTCGATCCGCACCCCTGACAGTGCCGCCCCCATGATTCTGAACTGCGCCAGCAGCACCGGGTGCACGTGCGGGCGCGGGAGAGGCGAGGAGAGGCGGAGCCCGCCCGAGAGACACGGGTTCTTGTCTCGGGGCATCCGACCGATCGACCACGTGCAGAGCTGATGGGGCGAGAGGCGGGGAAAGGGGGGAGGGGGGGGGGGGAAGAAACAGCGGGAAGGGGCCGGACGTGGGGGGGGGCAGGGGAGGAGGATGCGGGAAGGAGTTACGGAAATGCGGCTGTCGGCTCTCTCGGAAAAAAATGAAATGAAATGAAGTCCCCATGATTCTGAACTGCGCCAGCAACACTGGGTGCACGTGCGGGCGAGGGAGCGGGGAGGAGAGGCGGAGCCCGCTTTGAGTACCCGCTTTGGTCTGGAGTGCACGGCACTCACCTTGGTGACTGTGTCAAACGCCACAGTCCCCACGTTGGCCTGCAGGTCAGACGAGGCGACTTGCTTTCACTCAGGGCAAACGTTTGACTCCCACGCTGTCTACAACTCCACTCACCTTGGTGAGAGTGTCAAACGCCACGGTCCCCACGTTGGCCTGCAGATCGCAGGAGGCGACTTGCATGGGCAGCGGCAGCAGCAGCACGAGCCCCTCCACAGGCTTGCCCGGGTCGTGCTTCACCCCCACCATCACGTTCACCCGCCCACTGTCCTGCACGAATGCTATCTGCGGCTTGACGTAGACAGGTACACATGGTATGCTGCGAACCCTGTGGGGATAGGGGGGATAGAGGGATGGGGGGTGATGGGGGGTGTTGGGGGGTGATGGGGGGTGATGGAAGGAAGGGGAGACAAGCTATTTGCGGCTTGATGTACACAATATGCGGGGACGCATGGTATGCTGCGATCCCAGTGGTGAGGGGGGAGGGGAGGATGGGGGAATGGCGACGACGGGGGTGGAGAGAGGAGGACGGTGGGGAGATGTGAACCTGGATGGCGTGGCATCAGTTCTTTCTTCCGCACCATCACGGTGTTTCTTTGGTCGCAACTCAACAACACTCCACAGGCTTTCGCGGGTCATGCTTCACCCCCACAATCACATTCACACGCCCACTGTGGAGGGAGGAGGACGGTGGGGAGATGTGATGTGAGCCTGGATTGTGTAACATAATGTCTTTCTTCCCCACCATCACAGTGTGTTTTGGGTCAACTCACAACACTCTCCACACGGATGGAAGGCGATTGGTGGCTATAGGCACGAGAGGAGAGGAGAAGAGAGGAGAGGAGAGGAGAGGAGAGGAGAGGAGAGGAGAGGAGAGGAGAGGAGAAGAGAGGAGAGGAGAGGAGAGGAGAGGAGAGGAGAAGAGAGGAGAGGAGAGGAGAGGAGAGGAGAGGAGAGGAGAGGAGAGGAGAGGAGAGGAGAGGAGAGGAGAGGAGAGGAGAGGAGAGGAGAAGAGAGGAGAGGAGAGGAGAGGAGAGGAGAGGAGAAGAGAGGAGAGGAGAGGAGAGGAGAGGAGAGGAGAGGAGAGGAGAGGAGAGGAGAGGAGAGGAGAGGAGAGGAGAGGAGAGGAGAAGAGAGGAGAGGAGAGGAGAGGAGAGGAGAGGAGAGGAGAGGAGAGGAGAGGAGAGGAGAAGAGAGGGGAGGAGAAGAGAGGAGAGGAGAGGAGAGGAGAAGAGAGGAGAGGAGAGGAGAGGAGAGGAGAAGAGAGGAGAGGAGAGGAGAGGAGAGGAGAGAATGTCTGAAAATGATATCTGAGTCGACTCAAACTCGAATTACCTGTAAGAGAGGAGCTTGAAGTTTCCATCAGGAGGGGTGAGGGCCACGACACGGTCTGAATCCCACTCCCGGTAGCGCACACTGGGATGGAAGGCAATGTCTGAGAACACACGCGCGTCGACGAATGACAGCGCGACATCTGGCATCCCCGACATGCGACACGTGGCGTGCGCCTCCCCGTACACATCGCACCGCTCCACCAATCCCGATCTGCCAGCCGTGCAGATGGGGGTGATGGGGGTGATGGGGGTGACGGGGGTGATGGGGGACAGGGAATGTCAGGCACTAACAAGGAATGACAGGGAGTGACAGGGAAAAGGAAGGAAAAGACGTTAAAAGTTGACTCAAAGCACCACTGGAAAACAGCACGACAGTCACAGCACAGTCACAGCACAGTCACAGCACAGTCACAGCACAGTCACAGCACAGTCACAGCACAGTCACAGCACAGTCACAGCACAGTCACAGCACAGTCACAGCACAGTCACAGCACAGTCACAGCACAGCCACAGCACAGTCACAGAGTCACAGCACAGTCACAGCACAGTCACAGCACAGTCACAGCACAGTCACAGCACAGTCACAGCACAGTCACAGCACAGTCACAGCACAGTCACAGCACAGTCACAGCACAGTCACAGCACAGTCACAGCACAGTCACAGCACAGTCACAGCACAGTCACAGCACAGTCACAGCACAGTCACAGCACAGTCACAGCACAGTCACAGCACAGTCACAGCACAGTCACAGCACAGTCACAGCACAGTCACAGCACAGTCACAGCAAAAAAAGGACGCACCTGACTTTTGAGTCGACTCAAAACACCACAGTCACAGCAAAAGACGGACACACCTCAAGCCTACACCTCCAGGGACGCACGGTGTCACAGTGACACCCAGCTGCTCTTGCTCTCGCAGCTCTATCGCGGTTCTGCAGAGTTTGAGACATTCCAAACTCTTGAGACACGTTCTGAGACGCCTCAACACTGCACATGCAGACACTCATGGTGCCACACCGCACATGCAAACACTCATGGTGCGACAGTGACGTCCAGCTGCTCCCGTAGCTCTATTTGCAGTTCGTTCTGCAGGTATTTCAGACGTCCAAAACCCTTGAGACAAGTTCTGAGGCGTGACAAGACTGCACATGCAATGCAAACACTCACGGTGCGACAGTGACGTCCAGCTGCTCCCGCAGCTCTATCTGCAGTTCGTTCTGCAGGTACTTGAGCCCCAATGGTCGCCAGGGCAATGCAGCACCGGAAGCAGCACCCGTGGCACCAGCACTACCAGCACCGGCAGCAGCAGCAGCAGCAGCAGCAGCAGCAGCAGCAGCAGCAGCAGCAGCAGCAGCAGCACCGCCCATACCGCCCATACTGCCCATACCAGACGGACCTGCCCCCCCTCCGCCTCCCCTTCCGCTGACCCCTCCGCCTCCCCCCCCGCCGCCCCCTCCCCCGCCTCCTCCCCAGCTGCCTTCCCCCCCCGGCCGACCGGTGAAGGACTGGGCAACAGAATTGGCAACAGCAGCGCCAGCAGCGCCAAAGAAGCGGCCTAGCTGGGCTGGCATGTTGGCTGCTGCTGTGGCGGCGGTGGCTGTGGCTGATGCTCCCCCCACGCCCCCGGTTATCGTGTCTACCACCTTGGTGAGCAGTGAGGGCGGCGGGACTAGCTCCTGGGGAAGAGGATGGGGAGAGGGACAAGGAAGGGGATGGGATGTGAGGTGAAACAAGGGCGATGGGAGTCTGCTTTTGTGGCTGAAGCTCCCCCCACGCCCCCGGTTATCGTGTCCACCACCTTGGCGAGCAGTGAGGGCGGCGGGACTAGCTCCTGAGAGGGGTGAAGGGACGAGGATGGGGAGAAGAGGTGAAACAAGTGTGACGGGAGTCTGCTTTTGTGGCTGAAGCTCCCCCCACGCCCCCGGTTATCGTGTCCACCACCTTGGCGAGCAGCGAGGGCGGCAGGACTAGCTCCTGGGAAGCGGTGAGTGGTACATGAAAAGTAGAACGTGATAAGTGGAAAGTGTTAAATGGTAAGTCATAAGTTATGAGGGATACGCAACCAGTAATAAGGGGCAAGTGTAGTGTTTGTACCTTGAGAATTGCAGGCTCCAAAGTTAAAGGCATCCCCCCTATAAACGCCTCGTCCAGGAGAGCGTACACTGTAACGAAATGGTCCTTTAACGAGTCGTCGCACACCCGGCCGAGATACGCGGTGAGGAGAGAGATGAGCGATGATAGTAGCTGCCGGGGAGAGAAGGGAAACAGGGGTTCGGGCAAGAGGGGGGAGGGAGAGGGAGGGGCGCAGGGGGCAGGGGGCAGGGGATGGGGGGGGGGGGGCATGCGGTAAGAGAGCAGGGGGAAAGTGAAAGGGCATGGGGATCACGGGGTGGTGGGATGGGATGAGCGACGATAGCAGCTGCGGGGGAGATAAGGGAAAAGGGTCTGGGCAGGAGGAAAAGTGTCCACTCACACACACGCCTCACTCACATCGAGAGCCATGAGCGGTGGCATCTCCTGTGTGGTGGTGAGAAGCAGAAACACATCCTCATGCCGCTGCTGCACCACATGCACGCACATACGTGCACGCACATACGTGCACGCACATACGTGCATGCACATGCGCACACGTGCAAGCATGCAAAGACTAACACACACACACACACACACACACACACACTCACTCACCCACTCACTCACATCTAGAGCCATGAGCGGTGGCATCTCCTGTGTGGTGGTGAGAAGCAGAAACACGTCCTCATGCCGCTGCTGCACCACATAGCACTGCGGTGCCACCAACACCGGCGGCAGCACCACCCCACAAGCACCACCACCAGCAGCGCCACCAGCAGCAGCACTAGCACCAGCCGCACCAGCAGCAGCAGCGGCAGAAGCAGCAGCACTGCCAGCAGCACCGGCGGTGCCGGCAGCAGCAGCGGCAGCGGCAGTGGTAGTAGCAGCAGTGGTGCTAGCGTCTACAAGTACCGACCAGAACCATGAGCAGATGCGTCTGTCGCCCGCCCTGCCGCCCCACTGCTTCTCCAGAATCACCTCGCTGGTAGGGAAGAGGAGGGAAGGGGGAACGGGGGAACCGGGGCGAAGGGGAAGGGGGGACGGGGAACGGGAAAGATGTAAAGCGGGTCGGAGAACGGGGAACGGGGAAAAAGGGGGACGGGGATAGAGGGAAGAGTGGGGAGTGGGGTTGTCAAACAAGAGACGATGCTCTGCTGGCCCATATGAGTGCGACTTTTATGCTGACAAGAGAATTCTCAAAAGTCGCACTCTTATGCTCTGCTGGCCCACTGTTTCTCCAGGATCACCATTCGGGACGTGAGTTAACAGGGGAATGCGTTTCTTGAGAATTCTCAGAAACGCATCCAGGATCACCTTCCGGGACGTGTAGGAGAGGGGAAGGACGGAGGGACGTGGGGAAAGGAAGACACGGGGGTGTGGGGAGGTGGGCACGGAGGCGCGTCGCGTATTTTTATCTGGAGTGCGTCAAAGAGCTAGTCATAGCTTGTCATAGCGCTCCCAAGTACTCGTGGACAATATAAGGAGACGACCAAAAGGAGTAAAGGAATCTGAGATTGTGAAACAGTAGCTTTCGCTGGTCATAGCGCGCAATGATCTTGCTCGGCTGTATTATACTTGCATAGACAGGCGCAATCTTGACTGAGCAAGCACCGAGTGCGGTGCGGTGCGGTTCTGAAACACCTACTAGCCTTACCCGTTATCGGCGAGAATAAAGAGGCTCTCAAACATGGCGCGTGTGGATAGCAACAGGCCAGCGCGATTGCAGGAAACGCGAAACTTCTCGTGACAGAGATACTCGCAACAAGGATAATCTCCTCCCGAAGCCTTGGAAAAACTGGAGAATTTGCTCGGTATAAACAATTCCTTGAATCATCAATCCAGCGGCGCAGAGGCGCGGGAAGAAAAAGCTCGTTCGAGTGTCATCTTGTCGAAATAAGAGCTTTACAGTTGAAGCATGATTGGGTGCTGACCGTCGCGGATCGTCGATCAAGACGCACTGCTGGCTAGACAGCCGATGCTTTTACGCATAGATTCTTTTGCTAGAGTAGATGTGATGATGGGGTAGGCTGGGCGATGTGATTCTGAAACGGTACCGTAGATTTGTGTCTGGCGAACTCTGGTCAAAAGCACCAGCCGAACAGAATCAATTGAGCGAGTCATGCGAGGGGTGAACAACATCCTCCTTACAAGAACACTCGACAAGAACTCCACGTCGTTAGATGGAAAACAAAGGGTAGCTTGTGTTACATTCTTGCGCTACATATGTTGGATCTTCGTGAAACATTACAGACAAAACATGTTCAGCTGAAGTGTTTTCCTTTTCTTCTTAACAGTACAATCGCATTTAATGCCACCTAAAGATCTAACCAGTTGATATTTTTCTCTAATCAGAGCAACCGTTCATCGTTCCACGGATAGTCAGGGTCTTCCATGACACGGATGTCATCCCTCACAGTGAATCTGTTCACATATCCTGCCAATCAGAAAAGAACACCAACATAAGTGTTGATAAGAGGGATTAGGGATCAGGCACCAAAAATTAACAAATACCCCTGGAGTAGCAAAAGGTACGTGATTTTGCAGTGCACAAGAACGGCACAACGGGCGTACCTATTCCGTGGCAAGTGATGCACTTCCCCGAAAAGTCCTTCCCCTTCTTTCTTCGAAATGTAACAAAACCTGCTCCATTGCACCGACTGCATTTGCCCGTCCACTGGAACACCACCTCTTTGCAATTCTGCAGTTTGCAAGGAAGGCCATGGGACAAACTGTAAGCATGAGCTATCCGGCACACTCCCATAAACTACCGGAAAACATATTCAAGCACATTCCGAGCTGCATGCAATAGTCGGCGGATGGGAGAAACGTGGCAGGGGCTGCATTTGGCCCATTGCAAGTGCCCACTTCCTCTCGCCTCTCCTCCCCCTCCCCCTTCCCCTTCCCCTTCCCCTTCCCCTTCCCCCTCCCCTTCCCCCTCCCCCTCCCCCTCCCCTTCAACTCCCCCCTTCCCCTCTCGCACCCAACAATCCGTCCCATTCCTTCAATTTGTGCTTCCAAGCTCACCTGGGTTTCGGGGTCGCAGCGAACCATGTCTTCCACAGTCTCTAGCGAAAGCGGCTTCGAGTCTGGATACGTCATGGGCAACGGAAGCGCGCGACTAGGGTCCAGATCCGTATCCCCCCCGCTCTTAGACCTGGGTCGTATACCCGCCGAGGACTTGACGGCTGAACCGGAAAATGAGGAATCTCCGGTTGCGATTGACGGTGAGGATGAACTAGCCGTTGAAGAAGTGGGTGCGGAAGATGGTTGAGCGGGTTTCGTTTGACGAGGCAAGGGAATACTCGACGCGATCTTTCTGAACAGGCTTCCAGCGGAGGGAAGGCGCACAGAACCTTCCCCTCCGGACTCCGGCGTCGGCTCGGAGGTCACCGCTGCGCGCCGAGTCACTGAGCCGCGTCTATGATTGGCTGAATTCTGGTGCGCCGTGCGGTCTGAGGAACGGTTACCCGAACAAACGAGCAATTGTTGACGTCGCACAGGCGGACCTGGCAGCGGCAGCCCATCCTGTCGCCACGTCTGAGTGAACGTACTTTTTAGAGGACTGCACGTCCTAGCACAGCTTGAAATGTAGACAGGCGAAGTTGTCGAATCATGCCGATGGAGTTTCACTGTGCGCACACCGAGTTGGCTGACTGGATAGGACATACATGTTTGCATCTTGGTTGAGGTTGAAGATTTCGCTTCCACCCAAGAACCAGAAGCGAGCTCCGCCAGGCACGAACGTCTTCCACACTTAACAGCACATCACCTTGCACTAGGGACGTGCACGCAGCTTAGAAACGCCTTCAGCTGCAGCCTGGACAGCAGGCGTAGAAACTGGCAGGCACGCGGCAAGAAGGCGCAAAAAAACACAAGCGTATTACGCTTGAGAATCACGACAAGCTCTTATGATCCAGCCAACAGGAAATAGCCAGTCTGATTTACAAGACTAGGAAGCACATCGCTTTTCAGGAAGAGACACTACCGTAATCCCAAAATCCCACTTTCTTACACCTGGCTCTTTCCGATCTGGTGATGTGGTCCCTGGAAAGCAATGAAAGCGAGACAATCTCGAGGAGGTGGGTCGAGTATTCCCTGGGTTCTTGCTTGAGCTGCACTTTACCTCTTTCGACCATAGCCTGCCCGCCACGTGAACAATATCTGCCATGCCTCGTGGCACTGACACCAGAGCGCTGATCTGGAAAGGCCCTGGGAAAGCAACTGTGGTTGCTCCTACCCAATGGGCTGTCAGGCGACCAACCAGCCAGCCGCGCTGAAGCAGCAACTTTCAGTACACGCGGACGCACGTGAAATTCCGAAAATGCCTCCGTGGACGGCATCGTCTTCCAACGGAGACGATGCCGTCCTGGCTAGTTCACCGATACTATCGGAAAACCTTGGAGCCATTTTGTGAATACTCCTCTAGAGTGCACCACTCACGTACACATCATAATATTACCGCATTAGTTCCCCAAGCGACGTTACAGCTGGAATTGAAGATACTAGACAGTGAAATACGAGGACGAGTTTTGACTTGTACCCGAAAGTGCAACACTTCAGTAGATGGGTTCACGACATGAAGCAGCCACGTTGCGGCAAGTTACTTCCGGAGCGCTGTTGCAGTGAGGGACGAGAAGTCGTAGCTTGCACCAGTGTCAGGAGCTGGAGCCGCTGGTTGAGAAGCTACAGCAGCAGGCATCACCCCGGCCAAGCCAGCGAAGCCCTGGGGCATACCAAAACCAGCATCAGCACCAGCTCCAGGCACTTGACCAGGGAAGAGCTGGGGAGTCATTCCTGGGATGAACTGCGGGTAACCTCCAGGCATTGCCTGCCCTGGAAATACCCTGCATTCACAACACAAGTGAGATGATGAATGAACTTCCCAGGCTGGAGACATTAATGATGACTAAAAGAATGATCCAACCACTTATGAGTTCCAACATCAAGAAGTGGACAGCCAAAGAGACAAGGAACAAAACATTGGAAAGTTTTGGATGGTGGAGCAAGTGCAGTGGGGCAAGGGAAAATACCCGGCAGCAGGGAATGTTGGTACAGCTCCGGGCACAAAACCAGGCATCGCAAACATGGCACCACCAGCCTGTCGTAGAGAAGGGTGGGAAGCAGAAGGTGTCGTCGTTATAGAAACATAAAGCTGGGAAATGAATAATAAACGCGCTCGCAAAAACATATGTACAGGGAACTAGATGGCAAAACCGCTTCAACTGGTGTGTCCCTACTTACCCCGGCTGCAGGTGCTCCACCAACAGCAGCGCCTGGAACAGCACCAGGGACAGCAGCAAGACCAGGTATTCCCCCTGCAGGCATGTTGACTGCTGCACCCCCTGCAGCAGGTGCAGCATTGGTACCAGCAGCAGCTGCAGCGGCTGCAGCCATGTACTGCTGCTGGGCGAACATAGCAGCTGCCATCTGCTGCTGTGCCAGGAATGGACTGCTGGCAGGTGCCTGGTAGCAGGAGGGGAGAGGAAGAACGAGGGAGAACAGCTCAACAAAGCAACCATGAAAAACAAGGCTCATAAAGACTCTTGAGATAGCAGGACAATAAAGCCGAATGCACACACATAATTACTGGAGATAGAACCGAATGAACAACACACCTGCTCAAAGAGGCTCAGGATATCAGACTTGACGTTCTTGGGTGCTGTTGCAGCAGCAGCAGCAGCAGGTGCAGCAGGTGCAGCAGATGGAGCAGCTGCCGGCTCTGCAGCAAACAAGTCGGCAAGGGGATTTGCTGCTGTGGTGGCTTGAGCAGGGGCGCTGGCAGCTGGAGCAGCAGCAGCAGCAGCCTCTGTAGAAGTGACCATGATACACCGGAAAAGAAAAGGAGAAAGAACCGGTTGAAAAGGATGAGATGGAGACACAGGGTGTAAGGGAGGGAAGAGGCGGGATAACGGAAGGAGCTCGGAAGAAGGGCGACTTACGCACAGAACCATAACTACATGTGAAGAGTGAACGGGGAATGGTGAACGGAATTACTGCCTAATACCCCAACTTAGCTTCCTTGACCAGATATGATGCATATAAATTGTGTGTGTCCTTACCAGGGAAAGCTGCCCACGCTCCTGCTGCAGCAGGAGCTGCTTGTTGAGTGGCAGCAGGAGCAGCAGCTGCAGGTGCTGCAGCGGTTGCACCAGGAGCCGCAGCAGCCGGTTCACTGATCGAGAGAAGATCAAAGAGATCGGCAGTCTGAGCAGGCTGCGATGCAGCAGCGGCAGCAGGGGCTGCAGCTGCAGCCGCTGGAGCAGGCGCAGCAGCAGGAGCAGCAGGAGCTTGCACAGGGGGGAGTTGAGTGAAGCCAGGGCCAGGCAGGGGGCGAACAGGAGTTGCTGCTGCTCCTGCTGCTGGCTGACCGCTTGACATGGTCACCTATGGCACGACGCAAGAATGAAACGAAGCAGAGCAGCAAAAAAACATTGGACAACGAATGATACGAAGCCCACCGTTAAGCTTCCCAGATCAAAACAGGACAGAAAACTAGAGATACACACATGAGCAGCAGTTTTGGGAGACAAAATCGCGAGCGGAAAGGAAGAGAAAAAGAAGAGCGGAGGGATGGGGGAGAGACGAAGGAGACTAGTACCTTGACAGGTGTGGTGCTAGGTGCCTTGCTTTCCGGACGCGAGCGAGGCTCCGGTTCATTCCGGTTACGCCCATAGTCCCTGTCTCGGGAGTTTTGCCCTCCCCCACGGTCCCTGTCGTACCCACCACGCGGATCACGATCATACCCCCCGCCACCGCCGCCGCCACCCCGTGGATCCCTATCATACCCTCCATGAGAATCGTACCTACCACCTCCGCCCCTGTCCCTGTCACCAGACCCGCCGTAACGATCATACTTGTTGTCATATGAATCGTACGAGCCTACTCTGCTACCCCCACCCCCACCCCCACCACCGCCACCGCTGCCGCTACCACCGCGGTTGTAAGTGGCATGGGCGCCGTGGCTCCAGTCCCTGTCGTAATCCGAATCGTGGTACCGGCGGGGCCGTTCCCCCCGGTCCCGGTCGCGTTCCCTGCTGCGATCCTCGTCCCGTGCGCTCTGCCGCATGCGAGCACGTTCCTCGTCGTTCAGCCGGACCCAGCGCCTCTGCTCGTACCTGAATAAGGAGAAGAGGTTGTTTTGACCCTCGGCATCCAAAACAAAGCAAACAGCAACCAGCTACCAGCGAATGGGAAGGCAAGCAGAAAGCGTCAAATAACAACCACCAGCCGCCAAGCAGCTAGCAGCAAGCAGCAATCGACAACCAGCAGCCAGCAAGCAATCAGCTGTCAGCATCAACAACTAGCAACAAATAACCAGCAGCAAACAGAGTAGAGAAAACTGAGGAAAACCCTGTGCCACAGTAACCACGTGAAGGTGGACGTGAAGTGAATCTCTTTGTAATCGCCCATAGCTGGCACGTGAAGTGAACTTACTTGGCACGGATGAAACCCTCCAAGGCTCCCTTGTCAACCTCTGCTGGGCGGCGGAAATGTGGTGGCAGCTCCGCTTCCCAATAAGCGTTGGCCTTGGCATTGCCCATAGCTGGGACAAGAGTAGACCATTTTTTTGCAAAACAAAAAAAATCAACGAGTGAAGGAAAGAAGGATATGAAACGAGAATCAGAGGGCACCGGATTTGAAATCGAATCAGCAGCAGTGTATGCATGGCGTATGGCACGCACAGGTCACCTACACTGCATGAATTCCACTTGCTCCGGCAGCCATGTGTCAAGCGTAGCTGATCGAACCTGCACATCATGAAGACATGGCACCTTCGTTAACGCAAGCTCAACGGAATATCGCCAGTACCAAGTCGTATACGACTGTAATTGAAGTGACGACAGGTCACAGATGCAACCCGGACTTCCATTAAGATGGCTCGACGCGTTTGAGACAAACAACAGATTGAGAGAACGTAGTTGGGAGGACAGACTCACCTTCGAGATGTGCACTCCCAGGCTACGATGAATGCCGGAACACTGGATGCACAGGAAAACTCCTAGGTTGACGCTCGCCCAGCGAGGCCCTCTGTCCATCACAACAAAATTACAGATTTGTCAAACTCACATAATGAAATTCTCGGCTTCGCTTCGTCAGCACAGCCATACAGATGACAAGCAGCAAAATAACGTGCTTACTTGCAGCCACAGTCAGCACATTCTCGGTTTTCGGGAAGCTTCAAAAGACCGTCCAGAATCTGAAGGAGAGGAAACAGGAGGTGGAAATACTTCACCAGCGCGATTATTAAGGGGTGAGAAAGGACAAGCGAATCAGGAAAGCCGAGAAAACGCATTCGCGAGATCGTGGAGCGGGATAAATTGATCGAGTGGATGTAGATCCATTGATAAACTGACGGCCAATACGCCGAATTGACAACGGGTCGCACATCTATCATTGAAATCAACTGTCGTAATGATATGAAGCCACAGATTTCGGTGTGATCCTAGCTTTACAAAAGCGGAATCTGACATGAGAAGCAGTAGAACGGAAAATAAGTACACGACCGGAAGAATAACTATAAAAATCTGTCGACTAAACTACCTAGCTAATGAACCTAAGATGAAACTAGACGACAGGCATCGAAGAGAGATCCTTGCCTTTCTATGGCGGTCATTCTGCTCCTTAGTCACCGTCGCCTTCTCGTTAGACGACATGGTGCACCGCTTCACAGAAATTCGCGATGCTCCCGATGCTCTCCCGAACAGCACACGGATCAGCTGGTCTGAGGAAGTTCTGTATGTGCAAATCAGAAAAGCAGGTACAGTACTAGCAGGTGAGGGGAGGTGAAGGTGTGTTGTGTTTCCTCCTAGTATCCCTTCACTGTCCCTGATGTAAGTCCCTGGTGATTTGTGACTCGTGTCGTGAGTGAACTGGGAGGTCCTGTACAGTGTCTCCCTCTTTTCCCCCTCCCTCTTCCAAACAAATTTCTGGAATCTCTCCAAACCGAATTCCAGAATCTCGATTCTCTCGGTGTTCAGTGTGGTTTGGTACGTGTCTGTGTGGTATAACGTCGTTCTCAGAGACTGATCCCTGCGCTTTATGTCTTTCTGCGACACTTTCCGGCTGAGCGACCGTCGACGACGAAATTTGCCCGGTTGGTGCGACTGGACGTTGGGCAAACCATGCAATCCCCCGCCTTGCAGAACAACAAACAAGACCGTTGGAGGTGGTCGACCGACAACTCCGCTATAAGAGCGAATCCGTTAGCCGTGACAATACATACAACTTTGGATCTACTTGTAAGGACATACCAGTACATGCACATTCGAGGACACCTCTCCCTTTGAGCTGGTGCATGCCAAAAAGCAGCTGTGGGTAGCCTTTCTGAAATTTTAGTCTGATTTTGTTTTTTCCATCTTGCCTGGTTAAAAATCTATTCGTTTGATTGATGCACGGGTTATGCATGGAAAGGTGATACAAATACTTAGAAAAAAAATCAAGTATTATACTTCAAGTTTTGCGCACGAAGCCATATGAGCGGGAGGTGGGATAGCGGGATATCCAGGCCAAAAAATGCAAGATTTAACTGCATTTGAGGAATCAAAATGCATTCGAAAATAGTCGGTGTCCATTGCATACGAGTGTCGGTCGGCATGTGGGTGCAATGCGTGAGCTGCCAAGCTGGACACACATATATGCACTTTTGGGGTATGTATATGTTTGGACATCCCAGTAAGGCGATTAAGACACGCAATGGCGCCAGCTGTGAGTCGTCCAAACCGCAACCTCCACTGGGTGCAGACATGCAGAAATATAGAATGAGTTAATGAAAATTTGTATAGTTGAAGGCACAACAACAGGTGTGTTTGTTGAAGTCCATGTCGAGAACCAAATGTGCTGGATCCGTGCGCAACTGAAAATGAAAAATGCGCTGGCACCCCGCAAGGCGCGCGTGTACGGTGCCACGACATGGATGGGGTTCCGCCATGGTTCATCATGATCCCACCCATGGCCTAGAGTCCACAACTCGACCAATCTCATTGACCAATGGTAGGCCACGCAGCAGTGTGTGTAGCATCGTATGGTCCGCCTGCCACCCGTCAAAGTCAGGCCTCCCCTCCCCTCCTCCCTTCCGCCCTTCAGCTTCCCCAACGCCCTTTCCCGCCGCTTCTCCACGCCAGGCTCTTTCCGCCAACCAATCGCCACAGCAAGCCGTCGCCGTCTTTTTTGTAACTAGCCATTTTGACCCGCAATCCTTTTCGCCAAACTACACCACTTCAAACCGCACAAATTGCCATATTTATTTGTTCAATTCATCGGAATTCCACAAGATTCCCTTTCCCCCGAACTTCCTCCCTCGACATGTCCGCCCTCCGCCTTTCCGCGTTCCGCGCACGTCCTTCGTGTACGCATTGCCCGTCTCCGCTTCTTCCCCTTCCCCCTCCATCCGCGCCTGTTACTGCGGGTACAGTATTTCCCCCCTTCCTTTCCGCCCTAACCTTCATCAATAGCAACTCTTCCCACTCACACCACCAGACTCGCCCTCCCCTCCCCACCTCCCCCACTCAAATGTTTCTGAACCTAGACAGGGTCCAAGCTCGAGGCTACTTCGTGAGTGCTTGGTTCTCGTCACTCAGCCCAGCATCATACGTTATCAACGCCTTTCCAGCCCACGAGAGACGGTCACGTGCGCTTGACAAGGCATGGACAGGGGCCACGGCTCATTACGTCGGCCGTAGTTAGGTTCAAGAGCTGCGTGTGCATTCGCGCGTCCGATCGCATTACGCGAGTGAATGAGCGTGGATCGATAGATCATAGCACAACTTAATAGTGCATTTCCGTTAGCTGAGAGGTGCAGGTGCTATCTAAGCAGGTGTTTGCTTTCGTCGATTGGATCGATTTTATCCAACCCTAATACGTCAATAGCTTTCATAGTCAGCCTCATCTTATTATCGCGACCAGACATTAGGGCTTCTACAGAAACATTTCCTCCGCACGTGATTTCTCGGTGTCACGAACCCTAATATTCAAGAGTTAACATTTCCCGCTGATCCTTATCCGCCCCTGAAGCACATTCAAGCACTTGGATACCGCATCGCCAACAATCCTGTCATTGGCGAAGAAGCAGCGACCCCATCGTCAACATTTCTGTCATTGGCGAAGAAACAGCGTGCATACGAGAAGGCAACGCAGCTTTCTAAGCAGCAGCTTGCCTGTCGAAGTGCCTTGCGAGGCGCGAGCAGCAGCACGCGCTGAAAACCAAAGAGCGACCGCAGAGGATCGCACAGCGAGCCGTGATTTGCGCCGCCCGTGGAGCTTATTGCAACGACGAAATCTTCTGTCAGCGGCGATAGCGGCAGGCCTGCATGGTGCCGGGGCCGTGTGACCAATTCCTCGGCTGCCTCTCCCCCCATGGGCTCTACCGCCATCTCGGTACGTCGTATTGGCAGCTACGTCGTATTTATCGGTACGGTAGTGGATCGGTACGTCAGTAAGCGCTCTCGGTACGTCCTCGTCCTCTTAATGTTCTCTCCCTCACAAACCCCCTCTCGTTCTTCCCCACGGAGATCCGTGAGCTTGTTTCACCTGGCAATTTGAAAATGGGGGAAAAAAAAATTGCCGTCTCGGCGATCGTCGCCCTTTTGCCTTGCCCTTCCCTGTGTGTCCGTCCCGCGTCATGTGTCAGGACAATCTGAAACCCGATCACCAACATCTACCAGAGCAAGGATCTGAATCCCAAACACCTCCGATAGGCCCGACAAGCCCTACAGGCCTTCCTGGCGGCCTGCCCGTCGATAGGGACCATCTACCGTTCCCGCCGTTCCCGCCTTTCCCGCCGTTTCCATAATTCTACGTCGATTCCGGATTTATTTCGATCCCGGGGCGCGGTGATAAGATAACTCGCGGACCGGAAGTATCCAGTAACGCCGTTTTTCGCTGGTGGCCTTCTCGGGATCGGCACGCGAGAGAGGGCGGCGACGACGAGAGAGTTACTTTCGCGAAAAGGGGCGGAGATATTTTTATTATTTGCAGGGGGTATATTTCTGAGGCGCCTGAATAAGGAGGTCCAGGAGATTGAAGCGGTATGGAAGCGAAGCTTCGCGCGTTGCAGGGGCAGGGGAGCGTGGCCACGTGTCCTTCCCCGTCGCACGGCACTAACCGCATTGCACCGTTTTCTTTTTTGGGTGGGTGGAGCGTGGTGAAATCGGATCGGAGGGTGGCACGCGTCAGAGAGTCGCACGAGATACAGTCGCACGATAGATTCGCATGAGATAGAGTCGCGCGAAGCAGGGCGTCGCACTCGGCAGAGGCATGTGAGCAGCGCTGCATAGCCCAACCAGGGCAGGGCAGGGCCAAGGAGTGGGTTGCATGGGGCACACGCATGGGGCGCGGATGGTTGGAAACGGGCCTTGATTTGAGGATGTGAGGATGTGAAGATGCGAGGACGAGAGGATGGGAACGTAAGGTTGGGAGGTAGGCCAGGATATACACGCTACTAGCTGCTTGGGTCAAAAGCACCTGCAGAGCCCCTTTTCCACGGCTGAGCTGCCCCTTGCCGCATGGCCTTTCGTGCCATAGTAGAGTTCTCTCTCTCTCTCTCTCTCTCTCTCTCTCTCTCTCTCTCTCTCTCTCTCTCTCTCTCTCTCTCTCTCTTTCTCTCTCTCTCTCTCTCTCTCTCTCTCTCTCTCTCTCTCTTTCTCTCTCTCTCTCTCTCTCTCTCTCTCTCTCTCTCTCTCTCTCTCTCTCTCTCTCTCTCTCTCTTTCTCTTTCTCTCTCTCTCTCCGTAATCATGCAGCGCAATTCTCTTTCTGCATGTCGTTGTGTGGATGTCTCACGGACCGCATGATAGTTGGCTATCATTGCGTGCACCTGCCTGAACCTCTCAGCCTCTCAACCTCTCATCCTCTCAGCCTCTCAACCCCTCAGCGCCGGAATCTCTCTCCCCACGGCTTGTTGTGCTTGGCATAACGTGCCATGCAATCTGCCAGTTTATCATGCTCACGCTGCGCACGTCTGTGTGGTGGTGTGTGGCGGTGCCTGGCATGGCAGTGTGTGGTGGTGTCTGGGAATGTGTGCCGGTGTGTGTGCTGGTTTGTGCCAGTGTGTACGGTGCATGGTGGCGGTTCATCAACGAATGTGCTGGTGAAATGCCTTCCCTCCCCCTTCCCCTCCCGTTCCCCCTCCCCCTTCCCCTCCCGTTCCCCCTCCCCATCCCCCTCGCCCTCCCCATCCCCCTCGCCCTCCCCATCCCCCTCGCCCTCCCCATCCCCCTCGCCCTCCCCGTCCCCCTCTCTCTCGCCCCCCTCCTCCTCTCCTGCAGGTGGGTTTAAGGGGAGGCCGTCGCGAGGGCAGGACAGCGACAGCGACAGTGCGTTGCAGCAGCGGCTGGTCACGGGATACGATGATGACGGCATGATATGGAACTGCCCTATAGCCTCGCACCCTTCGGGTATGTGTCAGCAGCAGGGTGATTTGCCTAGTCGCGAGGGCAGGGGCAGGCGAGGAAGGGGAGGGCCGGGGCGGGGGCAGGGGGGAGGGCAGGGGCGGGGCAGGACAGCGACAGTGACAGCGACAGTGCGTTGCAGCAGCGGCTGGTCACGGGATACGATGATGACGGCATGATATGGAACTGCCCCATTGCCTCGCACTCGTCAGGCCCGTCCTCACCAGCAGGATGACCGCTGAGTAGGCCCGTCCTTAAGCCTACTACAAGCACGCAGCTCACTGAGACTTGTCTGAATCGCACCCGTCAGGCCCGTCCTCACCAGCAGGATGACTGACCGCTGAGTAGATAGACTCAGAGGGACTGTCTTTGTTTTCAGGCAAGTGCCATGTCTGCCTAAGGCAGGGAGGTTCTTTCTTGCCTTAGGAGTCGGCTTGACATGGAACTGCCCCATCGCCTCGCACCCTTCGGGCACATGAGTCATCAGATTCTCTTCCCCCCACTTCCCCTTCTTCCCCCCCGCCCCTTTCTCCCCCACGTTCACCAGGCGAGCTGTCAATGGCGGCGGTGGAGGGCAAACGTGGCGTGCGAGGCCGTGACGAGGGTGGACGCGAACGCGCTGCTCCCGCTTATCCTCGTCTCCCCTGACCATCCCCTCACTCAACTTCCCCCCTCTGCTCCCCTCTGCGCTTCCCCCACCTCTCTGCTCCCTTTTCTCTCCCGCTGCCCCCGTCTTCTCCCTGCTGCTCCCCACTCCCCCGCCTCTTTCTCCCCCGCCTCTTTCTCCCCCGCCTCTTTCTCCCCTGCCTCGTTCTCCCCCGCGTGCTGTCGCTCACCAGGCGAGCTGTCAATGGCGGCGGTAGAAGGCAACGTGGCGTGTGAGGACGTGGCGAGGGTGGACGCGAACGTGCTGGGAACGTTCGTGGGGATATTCGACGGGCATGGGGGCGCGCAGTCCGCTCGGTTCAGCGGGGACCACCTGCTGCCCGACCTGCAAGGTGCGCTGGGGGAAAGGAAGCGAAGGGGAGGGGGAGGGGGAAGGGTGGCGGTACGGGGGATTGGGAGGGGAAGAGCTGGGGGGAGGGGGAGGGGTTTGAGAAGTGGGAAGAGGGTAGGGTTGGTAGAAGTTTGATCTGGGGGGAAGAGGAAAGGGAAAGAGGGGGTAAGCGGAGGGGGAGGTGGAAGGGAAGGGAAGGGGAGGGGAAGGGGTGTGCTTGGGCAGGTTTGGGTTTGGGGGTTGATGGGGATAATGAATGGATACGGTGGGTGAGGGAGTGCTGGTGGTGAATGAGTGTTGTGGCAGGGCGACTGACTGACAGCACATGTGCTGCCAGCGCTCTCTCTTCTCTCTCACTCGTTCCTCCACCCAGGAGCGTTGGTGGACGAGTGTTGTGGCAGGGCGACTGACTGACAGCACATGTGCTGCCAGCGCTCTCTCTTCTCTCTCACTCGTTCCTCCACCCAGGAGCGTTGGTGGACGAGTGTTGTGGCAGGGCGACTGACTGACAGCACATGTGCTGCCAGCGCTCTCTCTTCTCTCTCACTCGTTCCTCCACCCAGGAGCGTTGGTGGACGAGTGTTGTGGCAGGGCGACTGACTGACAGCACATGTGCTGCCAGCGCTCTCTCTTCTCTCTCACTCGTTCCTCCACCCAGGAGCGTTGGTGGACGAGTGTTGTGGCAGGGCGACTGACTGACAGCACATGTGCTGCCAGCGCTCTCTTCTCTCTCACTCGTTCCTCCACCCAGGAGCGTTGGTGGACGAGTGTTGTGGCAGGGCGACTGACTGACAGCACATGTGCTGCCAGCGCTCTCTCTTCTCTCTCACTCGTTCCTCCACCCAGGAGCGTTGGTGGACGAGTGTTGTGGCAGGGCGACTGACTGACAGCACATGTGCTGCCAGCGCTCTCTCTTCTCTCTCACTCGTTCCTCCACCCAGGAGCGTTGGTGGACGAGTGTTGTGGCAGGGCGACTGACTGACAGCACATGTGCTGCCAGCGCTCTCTCTTCTCTCTCACTCGTTCCTCCACCCAGGAGCGTTGGTGGACGAGTGTTGTGGCAGGGCGACTGACTGACAGCACATGTGCTGCCAGCGCTCTCTCTTCTCTCTCACTCGTTCCTCCACCCAGGAGCGTTGGTGGACGAGTGTTGTGGCAGGGCGACTGACTGACAGCACATGTGCTGCCAGCGCTCTCTCTTCTCTCTCACTCGTTCCTCCACCCAGGAGCGTTGGTGGACGAGTGTTGTGGCAGGGCGACTGACTGACAGCACATGTGCTGCCAGCGCTCTCTCTTCTCTCTCACTCGTTCCTCCACCCAGGAGCGTTGGTGGACGAGTGTTGTGGCAGGGCGACTGACTGACAGCACATGTGCTGCCAGCGCTCTCTCTTCTCTCTCACTCGTTCCTCCACCCAGGAGCGTTGGTGGACGAGTGTTGTGGCAGGGCGACTGACTGACAGCACATGTGCTGCCAGCGCTCTCTCTTCTCTCTCACTCGTTCCTCCACCCAGGAGCGTTGGTGGACGAGTGTTGTGGCAGGGCGACTGACTGACAGCACATGTGCTGCCAGCGCTCTCTCTTCTCTCTCACTCGTTCCTCCACCCAGGAGCGTTGGTGGACGAGTGTTGTGGCAGGGCGACTGACTGACAGCACATGTGCTGCCAGCGCTCTCTCTTCTCTCTCACTCGTTCCTCCACCCAGGAGCGTTGGTGGACGAGTGTTGTGGCAGGGCGACTGACTGACAGCACATGTGCTGCCAGCGCTCTCTCTTCTCTCTCACTCGTTCCTCCACCCAGGAGCGTTGGTGGACGAGTGTTGTGGCAGGGCGACTGACTGACAGCACATGTGCTGCCAGCGCTCTCTCTTCTCTCTCACTCGTTCCTCCACCCAGGAGCGTTGGTGGACGAGTGTTGTGGCAGGGCGACTGACTGACAGCACATGTGCTGCCAGGCCAGCACTGCGTGAGCCTTCTCCTCTGCTCATCTCACCTTCCCCTTTCCTCACTTCCCCTTTCTCCGCCGCCCCTGCCTCCCCCTTTTCCCTTCCTTTCTCCCTTCCGCCTGCCTCTCGCCTCGTTTCTTCCTTCTTCCCCATGCCTCCCCCCATCCCTCCCCCCATTCCTTCCCCCCAATCCTTCCCCCCATTCCTTCCTGCGTCCGTCCCTCCCCTCACCCCTCCCCCCCATCCCTCCGTCCAGGCGCGTTGGTGGAGGAGTAGCGCCATTGACACCACATGTGTGGCCAGCACTCACTCGTCTCTCTCTCACCTTTCCTCACTTTCCCTTTCTCCGCTGTCCCCCATTCTTCCATCCAGGCGCGTTGGTGGACGAGTGATGTGGCAGGGCGGCAGACAGCACATGTGCTGCCACCACCGCTAGAGCCCTCTCCTCTGCTGCTGTCACATTTCCTTACTGTTCTCTTTCTCTCTCCTTCCACCTACTCCCTTCTCCCTCCTCCTGCCTGTCAACCTGCCCCTCGCCTTGCTTCGTCTTTCTTTCCCATCCCTCCCCTCATCCCTCCCCCCATCCCTCCCCCCATCTCTCCCCTCATCCCTCCCCCCATCCCTCCCCCCATCTCTCCCCTCATCCCTCCCCCCATCCCACCCCCTACCCCGGCCCGTAATCCCTCCCCAACACCACTCCATCCAGGCGCGTTGGTGGACGAGTGCTGTGGCAGGGCGGCAGACAGCACATGTGCTGCCACCACCGCTAGAGCCCTCTCCTCTGCTGCTGCTGCCGCTGCCGCTGCTCATGCACATGCATCCGCCACCGCTGGTGGTGGTGAGGGCGATGGTGGTGGAGGGACTGGTGGAGGAGGAGGAGAGAGTGGGAAGAGTGGAGATGCGAAGGGGGAAACGGGAGGAGGAGGGGGGGGAGGGGAGGGGGTAGAAGGGAAGCAACAGCAACAGCAGCAGCTAAGCTCGGGCCAAAGCAAACCGGATAAGCTGCTCCATGTGCCCCCACACGCGCCCTCCCGCCTCCCCCATCTCTCTCAAGACCAGCTCATCTCAGCCGTCCATCACAGCTTCAACCAGATCGAATCCAAATTCCTGGAGATCGTACGGTGCAAATGGCGCCAGGTGCCGCAATACGCAGCAGTAGGCACATGCGCGCTAGTAGCATTCATCCCCCCACAGGGGTCGGTTCTAGTGGTGGCGTCGCTAGGGGATTCGCGTGCGGTGGTGGGGGTGAGGAGAGGGGTGATGGGGGCGGTACGGCCGCTGGTGGTTTCGACAGAACACAATGCGAATTCGGCGGATGAGAGAGCAGCGGTGCAGCGGTTACATCCTGAGGATAAGGGAATTGTGGTGCAGAGGAGTGGAGTGTGGCGCGTGAAAGGGATTATCCAGGTATGTGGGAAGGGGAGGGGGGAAGGGGAGGGGAGAACGGGTGGGAGGGTGGGGATGGATGCGTGTTAGGGTGGACGGGTGGGGGAAGGAAGGAATGGAGGAACGGGGGATAGATAAGGAGGAATGGAGGGAATGATGTGGGGGACACATGCTTTTTTCGGGCTACTATGGCCTCAATCCTTGCTTCTATCACCTTTCGTGATTCCCAATAGCGTTTTTTTACGTTAGCTATTCACCAACTCATCGAGCCCTGCACCCATGCATCCATGCACCCATGCACCCATCCCCCCATGCACCCATCCCCCCATGCACCCATGCACCCATGCACTCATGGGACTCGCCCCCTGGGCGATTTCTATCTCAAGCACAACAAGTTCCAGCATGATCCTCTCTACACCCATCACCCAATCGAACCACTCACCGTCTTTCCCTCCCTCCCCTCCACCCCTTCCCTCCCATTCATAGGTGACTCGCTCCCTGGGAGACTTTTATCTAAAGCACAACGAGTTTCAGCACGACGCTCTCTACGCGCGCTTCCGCCCAGCCAGACCACTCCCCGTCTCCCCCAACACCCACGCATTGCCACCTTCCCCACCCCCCCCCCCCCCCCCCAGGTGGTGACTCGTTCCCTGGGCGACTTATATCCCAAGCACAATGAGTTTCAGCGCTACCCTCTCAGCACCCGTTCACACCCATCCAAACCACTTCGCATCCAACCTTCTTCTTCCCCCCCTTCCCCGCCCCCCAGGTCACTCGCTCCCTGTGCGATTTCTATCTGAAGCACAACGAGTTTCAGCGCGCCCCTCTCTACGCGCGCTTCCGTTTCACCACGACTCTCTCTCATCCCCCTCTGCTGCTCTCCTCCGATCCAACCAGGTCACACGCTCTCTGGGAGACTTTTATCTGAAGCACAACGAGTTTCAGCGCGACCCTCTCTACGCGCGCTTCCGCCTCGACCGCCCGCTGCGCCTCCCAGCTCTGCTGGCAGAGCCGGCAGTGGAGGTGCTGCAGCTGGCGCCGGCCCACCGCTTCCTCGTGATGGCCACTGATGGGCTGTGGGAGCATGTCAGCGATAGTGAAGCGGTGAAGCTGGTTCACTCCAAGCCCCGATCGGTGAGTTGGGGAATGATTCGGGAGTGAAAGAGGAGAGCCGGCAGGGCAGTGGAGGTGCTGCAGCTGGCGCCGGCACACCGCTTCCTGGTGATGGCCACTGATGGGCTGTGGGAGCATGTCAGCGACTCTGAGGCTGTCAAGCTCGTTCACTCCAACCCGCGATCGGTGAGTCTGAGTGGTGGGGAGGAGTGAGGAGGGGTGGTTGGGAGCAGCAGGGATGGGAGTGTTAGTGGGGAACGGGGAAGGGTAGATGTGTGTGTGTGCTGCACTGCCGGCATTCATTGCTGGCAGAGCCGGGAGCCGGCAGTGGAGGTGCTGCAGCCGGCGCCGGCACACCGCTTCCTGGTGATGGCCACTGATGGGCTGGCGCTGGCTGCAGCACCTCCACAAGCCACTGATGGGCTGTGGGAGCATGTGAGCGATAGCGAGGCGGTGAAGCTGGTGCACTGCAAGCCGAGATCGGTGCGTGGGGGAGAGAAGAGGGGAGCGGTGGGATGCGGTGGGGAGCGTCGTGACCACAGGGGGGGGAGTGGGAGTGAGAGCTGGGGTGAGGATGGGTTTCGGTTGAAGGGATGTTTTGTAGGTGTTTAACTAGTCCCCCCACCCACCCACCTCTCCAACTTCCACCTCTCCACCCCCCAACTCTCCATCCCCCTCCTTTCCACACCCCATCCTCCTCTCCATTCCCACCCCTCTCTGCCCCCTGACCGCCCGCTCTGCTCACTCCCTACCCTACCACCGCGAGGCGAGTCATTTCTTCGGCAGCGACAACCCCTACTCACCATATGGGCAGTGACAGCGATGCAGTCGTTTTTCCTACTCCAACCCCTTCTTCCTCTGTCCCTTACACTGCCCTCTCTGCTCACACCCCTCTACCCTCTCTGCTCCCTTCCTGCTGCCCTCTCTGCTCCCTTCCTGCTGCCCTCTCTGCTCCCTCCCCACTGCCCTCTCTGCTCACTTGCCAACCAGGGAGTAGCACGGCAGCTGCTGCGATTGGCAATCACGCGTGCAGCACGCAAGCTCGGCCTCTCTCTCCCGGAGCTCAAAATGCTGGATTCCAAGCAGCACCACATGATGCACGCATGATGATAATACTGTTGTCGTGCTCCTACCGTCCTCTCCCCTCCCTTGTCCCACCCCACCAGGGAGTAGCACGGCAGCTAGTGCGGCTGGCAATCACGCGTGCAGCACGCAAGCTCGGCCTCTCTCTCCCGGAGCTCAAAATGCTGGATTCCAAGCAGCACCACATGATGCATGCATGATGATAATACTGTTGTCGTGCTCCTCCCGTCCTCTCCCCCCCCTTGTCCCACCCCACCAGGGAGTAGCACGGCAGCTAGTGCGGCTGGCAATCACGCGTGCAGCACGCAAGCTCGGCCTCTCTCTCCCGGAGCTCAAAATGCTGGATCCCAAGCAGCGGCGCATGGTACATGATGACATCACCGTTGTCGTCCTCTTCCTCGACGCTCACCGGAGGGCGGACGGGGGGAAGCCAGGGGGAGGGAGAGGTGGGGGAGGGGGAGCGGGCGCGGGAGGGGGAGAGCCGGGAGCTTGTGGGCTGGTGGGGGGGGGGAGGAGGTTGAGTGAGAATGGAGAGGCGAGTGGGAGTGGGAATGTGGGGGGGGTGGCTGGTGGTGCAGCCGGTGCTGCTGCTGGCGCTGCTGCTGCTGCTGCTGCTGCTGGTGCTGGTGCTGGCGGTGGTGGTGGTTCGAGTGATGGAAGTGGGGGGTTCCTGGGAGTGGCAGGGGGAATGACTCTTCGCAGCTATGAAGATGTTGACGTGCCCGCGTTCTCTCAACCAGGCCTTGAGAAGGGTTAGAGTCCTGTGGTGTCCCATGACACGCCGGCATGTGGGCTGGTGGGAGTGGGTGTGAGTGGATGTGAGTGGGTGTTGCGGCATGAACAGTGTTTGTCGGGGTGGGGGGGGAGTGCACGTGGTGGTGAGATAGGATGGCATGAGGAAGGGGGTGGGTACTGTAGATGGAGGAAGAAGGGGCAGATTAGTTGCTGGTGATGTAGCTGGCTCTGCTGGTGATGTGCTGCTGCTGCTGAGCTGAGCCGAGGCAAGGATTTTTCTGTACCATATTTTTTCCCTGGAGTCCTAGACTTCCCTGTAGAACTGTGCAGTTCTGTAGCTGTCTGGCAGTAAACCATGTGGCCAGTGTGAGATGAGACCCATGTTAAATGCTAGGCCGAATATCACCTGAGGTTGTTGTAGAGGTGTAGAAGTACTGGTACAGTAGTTATGGTAAGCTATGCTATTACTTGCACACTTGATTATACCAGGAATAAGGATGCAGTGGTGTACCCATCCCTCTATAACAGTATGCTGTTCAATTTTGAGAGAGCTTGCAATAGCAGTATCTAATTGTCCAGCAACACCCTCCACCATCTTTTCTGCCATTAGTTGCTGGTGATGTAGCTGGCTCTGCTGGTGATGTGCTGCTGCTGCTGAGCTGAGCCGAGGCAAGGATTTTTCTGTACCATATTTTTTCCCTGGAGTCCTAGACTTCCCTGTAGAACTGTGCAGTTCTGTAGCTGTCTGGCAGTAAACCATGTGGCCAGTGTGAGATGAGACCCATGTTAAATGCTAGGCCGAATATCACCTGAGGTTGTTGTAGAGGTGTAGAAGTACTGGTACAGTAGTTATGGTAAGCTATGCTATTACTTGCACACTTGATTATACCAGGAATAAGGATGCAGTGGTGTACCCATCCCTCTATAACAGTATGCTGTTCAATTTTGAGAGAGCTTGCAATAGCAGTATCTAATTGTCCAGCAACACCCTCCACCATCTTTTCTGCCTGGATGACGCACCGGGTCTTAAAGCCTTGTTTGGTAGGCACCCAAGTTTGACTGAGGATAGATGTGGGCAGCTTCCCTAGACCGAATGTGATCATGTTGAAGTCTCTTAAAGCTCGCGGCCCAAATTGCGGGCTGCGCTGGCCAAGCTTACTAAGGTCGACGGGAGTGATGTTTTGAGTGCTGTTTGGGTTGCGAAGGGTGGTTAAGAGAAGTGAGATGCAATCTGATTGGCCAGATATTTTTTGTCGAATGGGAGAGCAGGGAACAACAACAATACCGTATTCTCCCGGACATAACACCCTAGGGTATAGCTAAAAATACAGGGAAAAAATGGGGGGGGTCTCCTCATAGGAAAAAAATACATAATACCCGGGTCTTTACATATGGCATATCTTAGTGTTGGTGTTTTTTTAATTAGTCAATGTGGGTGTTTTGCTGGTCGTTTTAGCATCACTGCCTGAGGCGCGAATGTGAGTTTCGGCCTCGAACTTCATCGCCCCCACGAAAATGGCATGTGGCACCTCTCTTGCCACTTGCAACGGAAGATTCACCTGCACGTGGCGACAGAGAAATAGTGGGAGGGGGCAAATCTCGGCAGATTGCCTTTGAATGTACCGCGAAATTTCATTGAGGGAGAAATTCACACGATATTCTTTCGTATTGCTTGCAGCTACTCGTTAACGACTATAATAATGAATCCGTAAGAAAAGGGGGGGTGTTATAGAAAATCAGCCAAAAAGGGGGGTATAGTAGAAACGAGGTCTATCATAACACCCACCCCGCACAAGCTACCCGGGGGTGTACAATTATGGGGGGGTGTTTTGTCCGGGAGTATACGGTATGTTGATTGCAATTTGGGACTCTCGAAGCAAACCCAGGTTGCTCCCAGGGGTTTGCCGTGTCAACGAAAACCCCAAGGGTCTAGCGCGAAATTGGGCGAAAGCAAACAGTCCAACTCCCAACAATTCAACTTCTTCTCCCGCCACACAAAGGTCAACCTTACTAAGGTTGAACAATTTGGGCCGCGAGCTTTAAATCGTTTTAGCAACACTGAGCCTAGTCAGTGCGAAGTTGGCTACGCAACTCGGAGCAACTTGGCCTGAGGAAGCCATGGAGGACGTCCTTCCCGGGCAAATCCCACTCCGACTTGATGCTCCAGCAGGCAGCTGTTGTGCAGTGGTAGAACGGAGACATTGACGCGCAATTTCTCGCGCTTGGCCACAAAGACGCTTGAAGTAGAATGTGAATTGTCAAAGCTAGGAAGCTATCCAACTAGTGTGGCCACTGCATACAAATGTTGCTACTCATGTTACTGCCATTATCCTCGGGAAATGTCACCAGCGATAAATTTACTGGTTTACAAAACGGTAACAGAATGTTTATGTTACGGAGATCAGTCATTTCAACCACAGCACCAGCATCCCTTCCATTTGCCATATCTCATTCTGACCACTAATCTATCTGCATGGACGGAGCATACCGTATGCAGACTCCGTATCAAAACATAAAACGTGTTCATGGTGGGTCTCAGTTACATACACGCGTCAAAAATTTCTCAGACGCTTTGCAAAATTTAGTGTGAAGAATCTCTACAGCTGGCCGCAGTCAGCAATAACAACGGGCTTCTTGGTTGCACCCTGGTAGCACAGGAGAAAGCAATCCATGTGGGCAAGGAGAGCAAGACGGCAGCGGGTAAGTCGAGAACGGGCAACAATGAGCGCTGCACGACGTTTGCCGTGACGATAAATTCAGCGAGCTAGTCGCGCAGATTAGACAGGAAAGGCCGTGAGGGGTGAAGGATGGATGCGAGGGCGACATCAATGGGCGGGGGGAAAACGCTGATTAGGGGTAGGAGGGAGATCTCACCGACTGGGAGCCAACGGCCTCGATCTTCTTCACTACATCCATGCCCTGCACGACTTGTCCGAAGACCACGTGCTTGCCGTCCAGCCACGCGGTCTTCTCAGTGCAGAGGAAGAACTGCCAAGACACATAACGGAAGGAGAAGTGAGGTTAATCAGAAAAAGAGCGCACAAAGCCTATGCAATGGGTCAGCGTAAAAGATTGAGCTGGTACCTGAGATCCGTTAGTGTTGGGTCCGGCATTAGCCATAGAGAGCACACCAGGGCCAGAGTGCTTCTTGATAAAGTTCTCATCAGCAAACTTGGCTCCGTAGATGCTCTCACCACCAGTTCCGTTTCCGCGAGTAAAGTCGCCACCCTAAAAAGGAAGAGAGTAGACAACCGACTTATTTAGCGGAAACAAGAAAAGCTGACTGTAACGGAAGAAAATCATATTCAGTTTCTGTAGATATCAACCATGTGTGCATACCTGGCACATAAACTGGGGAATCACTCGGTGGAAAGACGACCCCTTGAAGTGAAGAAGCTTACCGGACTTGCCCATACCCTTCTCACCTGTACAACAATTATTACGACAAGTGTTTTCATGTATTGACAAACTTTGCGAGTGACTACTTTAGATATATCAGTTACATGACAATTAACTGGAACATACCAGTGCAGAGACAGCGGAAGTTCTCAGCAGTCTTGGGCGTGACGTCAGCATAGAGCTGCAGAACCAGAAGGAAAGAAATTTAGTTAGTCATACCGCAGCAAGCAGCAAGATGAGCTGTGCAAACCACGGCACTGGTTCTCACCTCCATCTCGATGCGACCAGTCGGAACGCCGCCGATGGTGATATCGAAGAAGACTCTGGGGTTGGCCATGTCTGATACAAGCTGGTGGATCTGCAAAAATTCAGGTAGGACTCCGATTTCTTATAACCGCGCGATAAATCCAATAGATGTGCGGGCAAAATGCTACCAGCAGGATTTCTTGGACCAAGGATCTACTGCAGATGCTTACACAGAAGAGGAGTGAAGAAGATGCAGTACAAGAGGTCCTGAATGTGGAGAGAGATAAATTGACGGCGCGGTTGGAATGTAAGGCACAAAAACAAATATGGCTTCCCTGTGTTGGAGGCAGCTGGGGGTTCAGTCAGCCACCTTCGTGGAGGAGGAAGATTTTCTCTTCGAGCTGGTGATGACGTGGCAATCTCCAATTCATTTGGAGGGTATCGGAAGGACGTGGCGTCAAGCGAGGGGAAATGAGCTGGGAGTGGCGCGCCAGCGTTGCATGCGGTTTTCAAGGGAAATCAGCTTGTAGAAGATCTGCTTGCCGAAACAGCCTTCTACACTGCGCAAATTGATACCCAGGCAGTAAAGTTATGTCTATACATTTTAGACATGTTGCAGCTCTCATTTAGATTCTCATCTATTGCAAGGAAAATTCCTTTTCCTTACTTCGCATCCCTGCTCAACGCGTACATCACTGTAGCACCACAGTCAGCACCGTTACCACTCGCAACCCTCGCATCGACAATCCGCCCGCCACCTTTCGCACATCGCACCCCGACCTCACGGCTCGGCGGGTAACCCGCGCTCCGGACCTCCGCTTCGACACTTTTTCCCAACCTCAGTCCCAGGCCCGTCGCGCGACAACCACAGTCCATTACCGTTACCACTGTAGTTTCGCTATATATTCTTCGCTCATGCCTTCGCTCATTGTAGACTTGCTTCGATAGTGCAATTCTCGTTCGTTCACTCAATTGCACTCGTAACACTTGGTATTCAGAGCCTACGATCTCCTCTCGGACCGCACCCACACCTTCGCTTCCCCACTATCTCAATTTTTGGGGGGGGTAGACGTCTCTCAGCGACACAGCACCGCCGCTCGTAGTGCTCTCTCGTAAGCACGCACGGCCACGACCGAGGCTCTCGCTGAGCTCGCACGACACCCCCGCCATGGCTGAATTCACGCTCGCCACATTGACGCAGGAGCAGCTCGACCGTCTGGTGCGCCAACTCGAAGATTCGGCGCTCGAAATTGCGACGCTCACGGCGGAACGTGACTCCGCGCGTCAGCAATCAACGATGAACACTCCAGCGCCACCACACGCACCGACAAATGCATCTGCACAATCAGACGAGCCGATCGTCATCTCGTCCGGCACACCAACACAAAACAACAGCGTGGGACAGCGCTCAGGCGCAGCCAGCGATGGCGCCGCCCAGCCGATGCCTTGCATGGGAGGAAACAGGGTCGCACCAAGCCCGCGGGAGCCTCGCGAAGCCCGTCGGTACGTGGAGTTCGCGGCGACAAGTGGCGAACAGGCCATTATGGCACCAATGCCACTCAAGCCGCAACGCCCACCCTGCTTCGACCCGAGCCAGCGTGGAGGTCCGACGGTTCAATCGTGGGTCTTCACGACGAACGTCTTCTTCGACGCGAATTACGTCGAGTCGGACGCAGCGAAGATTCGGTATGCCGTTTCGCTGCTGAGGGGCCCCGCCATGGACTGGTGGCGAGTCATCGTGACGTCGCCACGCGCCTACGAGCCACCGTCGCAAGAGGAAGGGCCCACGGGTCCAGCTGTCACCTGGAGTTCATTCTGCGAGATCGCCCAATACAGCACGTGGGATGCGTGGTGTGCAGGGCTTCGGGCGCGCTTCGAGCCGATCGCGGCTTCTATTTCGGCGCGTCAGAGATTGCGCGCTTGGCGGCAGCTCGGATCGGTTCAAGACTATACGAGTGGTTTTCTCGCATTATGCGAGCAAGTCGGCTACATGCACGAAGCGGAGCGGGTGGACCGTTACGTCGGAGGGCTGAAGCCGGACATCTCGCACGAAATCATGCTATGCGGGCTCTCGAACTTCAACGAGATTCTCGCGCTCGCCGAGAAAATCGACATTTTACGCTGTCCGAGACCGGGGTCCTACTATGGACATCGTCCTCGGGGACCGATCGAGCACGCCACTGTACACGCTGTTGCGACGAATGCAGCTGCCGCGCCGTTTAAGGGGCGCTGCTTTGCTTGCAACAGACCGGGCCATCGCAAGAGCGAATGCCCAGAGGAGCTAAGGCGCCGCGGAGCAGAGCAGGGGAGGGAGTCTCCAAGGCAGGAAAACGCCAGCTGTCAGTAGGAACCGGGCCAACTACTGACGAGACTGCCTGCTCGCCCAACCCGACCGACCCTCACCGAGTCACAGTACCGATTCATGCTATCGATCGGACTCGGACGAATAAGGAGGGTACAGCGACAGATTGCCGAGTACTGATCCACGGGAAAATACAGGGAGCAGCAGTGAAGATTTTTATCGACGGAGGAGCAAGCCACAGTTTAGTTAATACCGCAACCGTACGAAAACTGCAGCTGACACTTAGCCGTTGCTTACCGGAGATGGACGCACGCTTAGTCGACGGCACGCCACTGGCCATACGGGAAAAGGTAGAGAGAGTCAAAGTCCGCTGCGGAGGAAATTTCGGGTTTACACAGGAAATGCTCGCAACGACACTGGATGGGCACGATATTTTACTGGGACGTGATTGGCTGCGACGGTATAACCCGCGAATTGACTGGACGACGGGTAGCTGCACCGTGCGAAGTAGTGGTATCTGGGTCGAGCTACCTCGCTGGCAGTCGCCCGAGTCTTCAACGGTACACGTCAACGCCATCACAATGAAACGGGTTGTCGCTGCTGGAGCTAACGTTTACGCAGTAGACATCGCAGTAGTAGAGGAAGCAGAGCAGCCCAGTGATTTCAAGAGACTGCTGGCAGCCGTACCGCCCGAATTACAGGAACTGTTGAAACGATACCCCGGGATTTTCCCCGACGACTTACCGGAAGGACTGCCACCTCAGCGAGCACATGACCACCGAATCGAATTAGAACCAGGGGCACAGCCAACCGTACAGCGCCAGTTCAGACTGACACAGCCCGAGCTCGACGAACTAAGGAAGCAGCTAGATTACCTGTTAGAGAAAAAAATCATCAGACCGAGCTCGTCACCGTTCGCCGCACCGATACTATTCACGCCGAAAAAAGACGGGGGTTTTCGCATGTGTATCGACTACAGAGCACTGAACAGGGTAACAGTCAAGTCGCGGTACCCAATTCCCCGCGCCGACGTGATCGACCAACTACGAACAGCACGGGTTTTTTCGAAAATAGATTTACGTGGAGGTTACCATCAGATTAGGGTCGAACCATCGGACTGCGCCAAAACAGCTTTCAGGGCTAGGTATGGGTCGTTCGAGTACACTGTGATGCCATTCGGGCTGACCAATGCACCGGCGACTTTTCAGATGACCATGAACGAGGCATTTAGGCCGCTCTTAGATAAATGTGTCATAGTTTACCTCGACGACATCCTAGTTTACAATCGGGATCAGCAGTAGCACTTAGCAGATCTGGAAGCAGTGTTTAAGGTTTTAGACGAGCACAGATTACTGACCAAGGGTTCCAAGTGCGAGTTCTTCCAGGATAGGTTAGAATTTTTGGGGCACGTTATTTCGGAGGCTGGAGTTGAAATCGACCCAAAGAAGCTGGATACGGTAAAAGCGTGGCATCCCCCGACGAACATCACGGAGCTGCAGAGCTTTTTTGGGTTCGTTAATTATGTGCGTCGGTTCGTCCCCGTGTGGCACGGTTAACTGCCCCACTGACGGACTTACTGCGGAAGGGGGTCGCTTTTACGTGGGGGGAGAAAGAGCATGCTGCCTTCTCTGCCCTGAAAAATGTTCTCTGTTCCCCGCCCGTCCTGCGCATCGCCGACCCACACTGCCCATTCGAAGTAGTTACCGACGCAAGCGATATCGCCATCGGAGCCGTACTGCTACAGGATTTCGGCAATGGCCTACAGCCTATCGCATACGAGTCACGAAAACTGCATCCGCCCGAGAAAAATTACCCGATACACGACCGCGAAATGCTTGCGATTGTGCACGCGTTCAAAGTATGGCGCTGTTACTTGACCGGCGCGGACGTGACAGTACGGACAGACCATAAATCACTACAGTACCTTCGCGCACAGCCACACCTCAACCCACGACAGATTCGCTGGCTCGATTTCCTCGAGTCCAACTTTCACTATACGGTCACTTACAAAAAGGGAGCCTCGAACATCGCCGACGCACTGACCCGCCCCACTTCCCAGATCCACGCAATACTACTCGCCCAGACAAGCCCGCTACTGACAGGCCTATTCACCCACGGGTACCAGACGGATCCATTCTTCACAGGAGGAAATTCGCAGCAGTTCGCAGCAGCAAAGGGAGTATATTACGTAAAAACCGGGACTGACCGCATTTGGGTACCTGGGTATACACTGCTACGGGAATTACTGTTACAGGAGGCACACGACGGAGTTACCTCGGGGCAATTCGGAGTAGAAAAAACACGGCAGCAGCTGCAGCGGTATTATTACTGGCCCGAAATGTTGACCGACGTACAACGACACGTGACATCGTGTCCCACTTGTCAGCTCATGAAATCATCACGACAGCGGCCGGTGGGACAGTTGCAGCCGATACCACCCCCAGAGCGTGCTTGGCAGCGGGTGACGATGGACTTCGTCACGGGGTTACCAGCCGGGGCGAGTGGGAACGACGCGATCCTGGTCGTCGTCGATCGACTGACGAAAATGGCACATTTCGCAGCCTGCAAAAAATCAATCACAGCCGAAGAAACAGCACGCCTCTTCATCTCCACCGTCGTTCGACTGCACGGGATACCAGCCGCGATCATCAGCGACTGCGACACGAAATTCACCAGCAACTTCTGGCGGAACCTGTGGCAGCAGTTCGGCACGCGACTACAGTTCAGTTCATCATACCACCCCGAAACCGACGGACAGACAGAACGGACAAATCAGACCATGGAACAGC